TCCAGAAGAGGGTGTCAAACCCCCTGGAGGTGGGGTTGTGAGTGCTGGGAACTGAACTTGGGGCTTTGGTAAGGAAGGAATACCTCTAGCTTTGTCTGAGCTATTTATCCACATTGACTTTTGAATGTCTGTCGTACCCTTTTCTGCTAACCTGGATACTCGTAGTTTTTAAGTACCTCCTTACACATCTTAAACCTATTAGTAGTTTGAAACGTGAATAGCACATACTTGGAATTGAACACCACCCAAACCAACTAGGTATTTATAAGCTTTACTTGGAAGTGATCAGTTACTGTTAAAAGCCTCATCAGTTAGTGGCAACAGTCTATCAGTATCTTGATATGGCATTTTATTTTGCTTTTTTGTTCCCAAAGGAAATCTGAAATAGAATACTATGCCATGTTGGCTAAAACTGGTGTCCATCACTACAGTGGCAATAACATTGAGTTGGGCACAGCGTGTGGAAAATACTACAGAGTATGCACACTGGCCATCATTGACCCAGGTATGCTTTTTAAATCATACAATATTTATACAACAATGCTTCTAGTAAATCTCTTTGGCTTGGGAATAAACAGTTTGGGGCGAGAGCTTGCAAGTACCATCTTGTGCTTTGAGCTTAGGGTCAGTGCCTTGCAGAGCACTGCGAATCTTCTCGCTGTTCTGGTTCTGTGATAACCAGGGCAGGCTAGACATTCGCTACAGGAAGGCCATGCATGTGTCCCCAGACCTAGGTCTATACCTAGGCCTGGTTTTCTAAATGCTGGTGACAAGACCGGTCTGATTGGTTATGTGTGTTCTGTGTTTTCCTAGGGTGGTTGAGATTAGATTCTAAGGTATTTTTAATTGGTCTCAAGAGTGACAGCAACTGCTGTAATAATCTGCAGATAGGGACTAATCTGTCTCCTTGACTTAACACGTAGCCACTCTAGGGAAGTTCTGTGATTACCTGTTGCCATTACATGAATTGTAAAACTATTATTTTTTATTTTTTAGGTGATTCTGACATTATTAGAAGCATGCCAGAACAGACTGGTGAAAAGTAAAAAGTTTTCCTTTAATAAAACTTTACCAGAGCTCCTTTTAAAAACTGTCCATTTGGATTGTTTTCTTCCTAGCTTTTGGTTCTCTTACCTTGAAGGTAGGATTAGTCATTGAAACCAAATATCCAGTTTGCTGGGGTTTTTTCTTTTGCTAAAGTAGTACACTATCTGTGTAAAATATGGGATCAGAAGTGGGTTTTTTTGTTTGTTTTTTGTTTTTCGAGACAGGGTTTTTCTATAGCTTTGGAGCCTGTCCTGGAACTAGCTCTTGTAGACCAGGCTGGCCTCGAACTCACAGAATCTGCCTCTGCTTCCCAAGTGTTGGGATTAAAGGCATGCACCACCACCGCCTGGCCCAGAAGTGTTTCAAAGTTTGGATTTCCAGTGTTGAAATACATGCACTCTTGTGTTCATTTAATATGTATCTAATCATAAGGCTGTGTTTTTGGTACTTTCTGTGGGCGGGTGTGTTTCAAGTTTCATAACTACCTTCTGTACCTAACTGTAAGTACCAAGGCATGACCTCTCACTTAAACCTAGAATTTGGCAGTTCCAGCTAATTTAGCTAGGCAGCTTCCTCTGCATCCTGTGTGTCTCCTGAGAGATAGCAATGCAGGCTGGGTACCCTGCACATCCACCATTGTATGTGGGTGCTGGAGCCATGGAGCTGTTATTCCCAGCCCCTGTAAAGACAGGTTTGTGATTTTAGGCTCGGTATTTATTGTGTATTTGGATATGTTTGAGAGGCATTGGTGTAGCAAGACTTGTGATTGACAAAGCTGTGTAGCACAGGGAGGAGTGCTGGGTAAACGTCTAGAGTACAAGGGTCTTGAGAGCTTGCGTAGAAAGGCGTCTCGGACAACCCTAGAGTGAGCCTGGGTCCTCAGCTGATGAAATGTCAGGTTATCCAGGAGGGTATTCTGTCATTCAGCTCCAAAACGTCAAAGTTGGGATTTTGGACAAAGTACATTTCAGCCTGGTACGGATGCCCTGTGTAATCTAAGCTTTTGAAGGAAGCTTTAGGAGTATCAGAAAGGCTTCCCCAATGCTCTCCTTCCATCTACTCAGCTTTTTTGTGATTGAAGAGTGAGACATAGGAGCTGAGGATGCTTTCTGTGTGTTGTCCAGAGTCAGAGTGGACTTGCCTTAATAATACATAGCTGGCGTGTCTCCCACTGTGACAGGTGAGGAGACTGGTTTCAGAAGTTAACCTAAGGATATCTTAGCTTCATTATTATGTCTCCGTTTGGGAGCAGCAATAACTGCAGGGAACCAGCCAGTCTCTCATTTCTGCTTCTATTTGGTTGCGCCCCCAGTTGTTCCCATCCCCACCCCCAGACATTTTTGTTTTGATTTTTTTGAGGCAGGTTTTCTCTGTAGAACTGTCCTGGAACTCACTGAGATTGCCTGCCTCTGCTCCTGAGTATGTAATTAAAGGTGTGCACCCCCACTCTCACCCCTGATTTCACACTAGGATGTTTCCAGGTTAAGGTACTGGCTGAGTTGGATTTTAAGTGTTCTAAATTCTTGGTGGTGTGCTCAAAATCAGCTATTAGATCTTTTATACACATTGGTTAGGTGTGCCTTTTAGAGCTATTTCCATGGTTCAGAGTGTTTCAGTTTAATTCTTAATGAATGGTAAACTGGAGAATCCCAAAGCACAAGTTCTGAGGTACTATCTTGTGGGGTTTGTATGCAGTTAGTGACTTGGCTACAGGCATTTAGAATGTTTCTTTAATGCATGGTTTCTAGGGCTTTGTAGGTAGTGATTATGTGGTATAAGATTTGGCTTTTAATTTACACATATTTTTTGTCTACTCATTGTGTCTGCAAGAAGGGTTAAAAATGAAGAGGAAAGTTTAAACACACCTTGGGTGTGTTTGTGGGATAGCTGGTAAGTGCTGTTGTGCTGTGGCTGCTGGGAAAGAACCCAGATCAGAGTTGGGTTGCTCTAATGTGAGGGAGTGCTGGGAATTCTAGCCCAGTGGATTTCTGTTAGGTGGAGACAAGTGCCAAAGAAGTTGATGTTGAGGCGGCTGGAGAGATGGCTCAGCGGTTAAGAGCATTGCCTGCTCTGCCAAAGGTCCTGAGTTCAATTCCCAGTAGCCACATGGTGACTCACAACCATCTGTAATGAGGTCTGGTGTCCTCTTCTGGCCTGCAGACATACATGTAGATACGTATACATAATAAAGTTGATGTTGAGTAAAATTGCAAGCAACACTCTGTGGCAGATGAACAAACTGTCTGACGCAATTTGAGCTTGCTATAGCAAGAAAGTCTAACCTATTCCGGTGTTCTCTTCCTTGTGAGACAAGCCGTTATATAGGCTCAAACAATATTTTAAGAAACAAAGATTGCAATTATGGAATTGGGACAATAGCCAACAGTATATGATGAAGAAATCACATTTTAGGCTAGTCATGGATGGAGCTAGCTGTATAACGTAGAAGGAAGATAAGTCATGTTTCATGGGAAGATTTTCTCTGGTTCATCTTGGAACTTCGCTGTGCTTTTTCCTATGATGGACCTGCTCTGCCCCCCAATATCTAGTACATTTACCACTTAATTCGCTGTCTCCCATCTGGTTCAGAGGACGAATTCATTCTGTCTTCATCTACTCAGACAGAATAAGCCCCACTTTAGCGCTGACTGCTAAATACACATCACAGGTGATACCGAGCATTTAAAACACTGGCGAAGGGGGGCCTTGCAACCCTCTCCTACAACCTGGGCACCTGCATATGCGGCATTCACTTACACATGTGCCTAAGAATTGTTTTTAGATTTATGAGTATGAGTGCTTGGCTTGCAGTTTGTGCTGCACACATTCCTGGTGCTCCTGAAGGCCAGTAGAGGGCATCAACTCCTGGAACAACTTAATGGATGGCTGTGAGCTGCCACGTGTGCTGGAGAACAATCTGAGTCAACTGTGAGAACAAGGGATCTCGATTGCTGGGCCATCTCTAGGAAAGACTTGTTTAATGTTGCCCACATGCATTTAAGTGCTCCATGTGCATGCCCAGTGCCCAAGGGGGCCAGGTGCTGGTGCTGGCTTCCCTGGAACTGCAGTTAGAGGTGGTTGGGACTCATGGGTGCTCAAGACTGAGTCTGGGTCTTCTGCAAGAACACCAAGTGCACTTAGCCACCAAACCATCTCCAGTCTTGTTTTTAAAAAATGTATATGAGAAATGTGTTGCTGGATGGTGATAGATTTGCTTTTACTCCCAGCTCTTGGGAGGCAGAGGCAGGCGTTCCAGGACAGCCAAAGCTATAAAGGGGAACCCTGTCTCATCCAACAAATAATGCTTTGAGTTGCTAGATGTGAATGTACCCAATTCTCAACCCAGCAAGACAGTGCTGTGAACCTGATTTTACAGATGAATACAGGCTTACAGAATCAGCTTTGAAATGGAATACAAAATGCTTAACCAGTTGACAGTGCAGCTGGCAAGCCCAATGCTGACAACACTTATGCAGACAATAACAAAGCTAAGTATCTTGGATTAAACTACATAATTTAGACATTCATTAAAACTATTATAAACTTTTAAACAAGCACCACACATTGAAAAGAACAAGTTAATTTTAAAAAAGACCCCCATGTGTCTGTTTATGCATGCCCATTGGGTCCCTTGTAGCTGGAGTTCGGACTGAGCACAGCTGCCTGACGTGGGAGCTGGGAACCCGGTCCGGCAGCAAACACTTTTAACTATTTCATCCAGTCCCTGAGCTGTAAAACATGATGCCTTGGCTGTAGGCCTTTGTTTCTCATGAAGCCTTCCTGTGTTGTGTGGTTGTGCCACTAGAGGGAGCCAATAAAGGCCAGGCAGTATGGGGCATGGCTTCTCAATCTTTGTCTTGAAAACGTTTATTCTGAGTTAGAACATTTACACCTGGGAAGATTCTTCAGATAAGATGGAGGCCCAGGGAATCACTGCACTCAGCTCTCCTGTGGGAGGACATTTGATGAGAACAAAGTATCCGTATTTTGGAAAAACAAATGATGGGAAGCTCTTACTTGTTAAGTGCTGTCTTGAGGTGGTCTGCACATACATATACATCTCCTTGAGTGGCTGATTGTGTCTGTTCATAGAAATTACTGAAATGCTAGACTTTGTCTTAGGATTTTTTTTTTTCTGATAGGATCTCAGATGTAGATCAGGCTGTCTTTGAACTCACGAAGGTATACCTGCCTCTGTCTCCCAGATTGTCATTGACTTTTAAAATTGATTTGAGGGCTGGGATGTGACTCAGAGTGGTTTACTCACATGCGTAATCATTCGCACCACATAAATCAGGTGTGGCAGCACGTTTCTGTAATCCCAGCACTCAGGTGAGGCTTGAGGACAGCCTGGGATACATGCAATACTATTTAACAACAACAAAAAATTAGTTTTGGGTTTCACTATGGCTTGGAAGGGACTTTGGAATTTCTGCAAATGAATAGCATTTCTGTGGTATGGACTACCCAGTGACTCAGTTCTGATGTTTAGGCTATTTCTAACTTGTCGCTTTTGTAGCCTAGTGACTGCTCTGCAGGTCTCTCTTGTGTATGTTAAAGGCCATTTGGTTTGAACCAAGTGGTATGGCAGCTGCTGTCATTACAGGTACACTCCCTAGCAACTTGTAAGAACCTGTATTTCTGCATTGGTAGCCACCGCTAGACAGTGGTACCAAGCTCACGAGCAAAAAAGAAAAAAAATTAAATTTGTTTTATTTTGGGGGGTATAATAGATTTTTTTGTCGTGTGTGCATATTTTATATTTAAAGTTAGAGTGAGACTGGGCTTGGTGCCACATGCCTGTATTACCTGCCAGTGCAATGAAGCAGGAGAATTGAGAGTTATAGGCAGCCTGAGTTACAACCTCAGCAAATTTGAGACCCCATCTCATATTTAAACTAGGAATTTTACTCAACATTTTCTGGAGTGGTGAATTTTAATGTGTAAAAATTCAACTTACTGCAGGACATAGGTCCCATGACTTTATGCATACATCCATATATATCAGGGTAAATTCCAGTACAAAAACGTTAGCAATTTGTGGGGTCAGTTTTCTGCAGAATTGTCAAATGAGATTTCAGTGCTAAGGTAGGGAGGCAGAAGCAAGTTGTACCCACAGCAGATCACAGAACACGAGACAGCTCATTTTTTCTCAGGGTAAACTCACTTTAGGCTTCAGAAGGACCCCTCCCCCCTTAGTGTCTCCATTTTCTCTTTGTACAGCAGTCCAGTGTCTTCTGTACTGGTTGTGGTTTGCTTTACAGCTTAGAGATTTGACTATGGTGTGAGATTTGAGGCTCCACCATGTTTTTTGAAATCTTTTTATGATGTATAAACACACGACAACATTTCTAGTCTTCATCTGTATCGTAGGCGGTTTTCCAAGGCTTCCATTCTCTGAGTCATTTCTTCTAGTAAATCTCATTAAGGAAGAGGAACCTGGATGCCTGTTTTAACTTACAATCAAGTACAACTTGAAATGATTACTAAAAGTTATTTTAAAAAGACTTTGGGCTTAAAAGCAAACTGTCTCATATTTTAAAACCCTTATACATTTATAGTGATTCATTTAGCATGCCATTAAAACTATATTTAAAAAATTCATGTTGAGTTCATTTTTAAAACATCAAAGCCTGATATTTCAGCTTGAATTTGGGTTTTCTTTTAAGATTTTCCAAAAATGTTTTCTAACTACACCCATGTTGCTTATTAATTTACCATGGTGCTACTCTGGGAGCCAAAACTGATTTGGGAAATATATAAAGAAAAGGATGATGCCTTACCAGGGTAAAGGGAAGTCAACAGAGAGGTGTGGGAATGGGGTCATTAGTGGCAGACCAAGAGCTGAGGTGCAAGTGGCCTTGAATGCTCTTTCACAGCCTTCGTAAGGGGTAGAGAGGGACAGGAAGAAACTAGTTAAGTATTTAAGCCCTGTAATTCCTATCTGCTCCCACTACAGAGTGACAGCCCAGTTTTATCTGTGTCATTTACTGTCAGGAAGACTTATTCCACATAGAGGACCAATCCCTCTTTCCCATCCTTACAGTAAGAATTGCGTGTTCTTGGTAAGCCTGTTGTTGGCAGGGGTAGTTCAGAATTGAGCTATTTTTCTGTGGACTAGTTGATGCTCCCTGAGATCCGTATCAGCCAGCTTTAGTAAGCTTACTGTAGTTTTAAGTTCAGAGCAGCTAGCAATGTGTTCAATGTGTAAAAGCACCCATCACTGTCATCCCAGAGCATTCTTGTTTAAATGAGTCACTCCACTTTGTTCCCTTGGTAGAATTTTTCATCTCTTAAGAGTGCTGATATAAGGGATCTCGGCTGCCAAGAAGAAAAGGGAAACACCCTGTTCTTCAAAATCTGCACATACATGCAGCTTCTGTATGGTTAGGTTAGGGTTGAAGGTTTAGAGATTAAACTGAACCTCTTCATTCTACAACACACTTTGCCTAGACCTGCATTCCTAGTGTTTATCCACTAGAGTTAGGTGCCTCCCCACTTACGCTTTATATACTGCCTGATGCCCTTAATTCTGCTCTTTCTATCCTAGCCAGCAGATGACAGCTTGACCATGGCCACTAAGCTTGGCTTGACTTCCACTCTCAATACTGATGAGGCTGCTGTTATAGAAAGGGCCTTTCCTGGTTCAGCGTTGCTGGCTTTGCTGATGAAGTCTGCACAGTTATCTGTAAAGTTTTGCTACTATGCTTTGCTTTGCATACAGAGCATCTGTTGAAAAAGGATATAGCGCTGGGTTAGTTTTCTTACTTCTTCATTTGCAAGGTTCTGGAACATTATAAGGTTTTCACATTTGCATTGATCTTGGCTTTCTTCCAAAGGACTTCCTGAGAAAGCAGATGGAAAGAGTTCACCTCTGTCTTTCATGCGCTTCCCAGACACAATAATGGTACTGAGTCAGAACACAGGAAACCATAATGGAAGAAAATGCTCAGCCTCTTCCATGCATCCAGACCCAGGGAAGTAGGTACTGGGAAAGGGGCTTTCGCTGCACACTGGGAATCAAGACTACTGCTTCTTTTAATTTAGCTTTTACTTATTTACTTAATTTCCTCCTTTTTTTCCTACTTTAAGTCTGTTGGCAAGCTGAAAGGCTGCTGCAACTTATCTGGTAGTGATATTTCACTTGGAATTACCTGAAGACTTTGTTGAGTGGGAAAGCTTTTGTGTAGATCGTGAAAGATTGTCTTCTTCAAACAGATATCTATGCTGCACTGCAAAATTAGAACAGGAAAGTAGGTCTCGGATATTTATGGTGATTGGCTCAGATTCTGCAAGGAGAGAAAACGGAATTCAAACCTGCTTCACGCTCCTGTGGTTTAAAGCAGGCACCAGCTGGTGCAAGGCATTGGGTATTCCTCAGTAGAGAGCCTTGCTTTGAAATATACTGTGACATAAGCTGTCAGGATAGGTGGTAGCTGCCAAATATGGCGTCAAGGACAGTAAATCCCTTAGCTGGCATTTAAATCTATAGTCACTTTACAACTTGTATCTGCAGGGAGGCGGAAATGAAGCCTCTGCTTCAGTGAGGGCGGATCATACGGCCTTTGGAAGCTCACCTGTTGGCTGGTGGACCTGCTTTGGTGGTTCCCCTGCTGGGGAGTCCTGTCTTCCATCAGAGTCTTCTAGAGCTGGGAGGAAAGAGATGGCCAAATGGAGTGACGGTTTCACACATGCTCTTTAGAACACTGCTAGAAACAAGGTCTTTTGGTGATATTTGGTGACACCAAAGATTCTGTGATGTATGACCATGGTGGAGCAGTTCTCTCTCTGAAGAGAACATAAATTGCATCTAAAGAATGCTCCCCTCCCCGTGCCATGTCAAGGAAGGGAGGCAGAACAAGTTTCTGAAAGATACTTGTGTAATCCCTACAGCCCTACCTGTGACATTCCCCTGAGAATGAAAGAGCCAAAACATGCTCCCTGCTTTGGGATCTGGAAGACTTTCCCCCTGTGCTCCCCTTCACCCCAGAAGAGAAATAAGACATCATGGGCTGCATTTTAAGTGTGTCTGAACCCAGGATGTGAATAAAAGGGGAAGTGGTAGAATACCTATGTAAGCATAACTGGATTAATAAGTGAGCTGGAAAAACTACACAAAATGTCTGGAATCTAAAGGATAGTCGTATTTTTTTAAATAGAAGTCTCCTCAGAAAGGTATTTTTTAGGTGAGCTTATAAGGCTAGATATCCCCTTCCACAAATACCCTGAAATAGTACTTCTGTTCTGGTTTCTTTAATGGTGCCTTCTTGCTTAAATGATCCCTTCTCTAGGTTTGGTGAGGATCAAAACTGGCTTGTTAAGACATTTGGCACGGAGTTGGTGCTGAAGACATGGTAGCTATCATATTTGTCTTCCCCTCGCCTGCATTTTCTTGTCACCTGTCTTGGCCAGCAGGGTGGTATTTTCTGAGGCCCTGTGGCCAAGGCCCACCCTAGCTACACTCTACAGTACCTTCACAGATGCCTTGCTTCAGCTTTTCACTGATCTCGCCCATTGTGCTGAAGTCCTCTGCATAGAAGAGATGCTTGTCCGTGGGTTCAGAGGCAATCTCCTGTAGCTCTTCCTCAATGGCTTTTCCTACCCCAACAGCATACACAGTGATACCTAGGCAACAGGAATTAGGATAAGATACAGTTGCACTCCCAGAGTCTGGACATTGTACTGTGCTCAAAGCCAGTGAGATGCTAAGTGATGTGATTTGAAGCATCAATATCAACACCTCTTTATGTTTTTCAGCATTTTTATCTCTGACATATGAACAGGAGATAGAGATGTGGCACCTAGAAGAGGACAGATGCACCTAGAAGAGGATAGATGCTGTTGGTCAGCTCTGGAGAGGGCCGGGTCACAGATGTGCAGCTTTATCATGTTGCCTTCCGGATAGTAGGGAAAGTGTTGTCTCACAGCTCACTAAAATGAGAGGTTTTCTGGGAAAATTCTAAGCAGGTCAAATCATGACCTTATTAAAAACTAGGCTCTTACCATATAGCTAAGGCTGGGCTGGAACTGGTCGTTCCCCTGCCTCAGCCTTCTGAGTGAGCTAAGGCTGGGCTGGAACTGGTCGTTCCCCTGCCTCAGCCCTCTGAGTGCACGGAAGGGTTCTTCTCAAAAGGAAAGAAGGATTTTAAGTGTTTGGGGGGTCCAGTGGAGTTGCCTTCTGCCCACCTCTCTTAGGGGGTGAGGGGCACTGTCTTGAGTAGAAATGGGAAGCAATTAGTCAGCAGTGAGATAAGGAATGTTGGTAAAATGGACTCTTTCATAAGGGCTGGATGGGAACCGTCAGCCTTTCCGATGGGGAATGGAGTTTCCTTCACTCCTGTCTTTGCAGGTTGGGCGAGTGTCTGTTGAACATCTACGCATCTGGCCCATCTAGGCACTAGGTCTAGGACTCTTGGGTGAGGTGGTCTGCCTTCCCTTATCCTCCTAGGGCACCTTGAGCAAACACTCTGAAGTCATGAAGTCTTTAGACAGAAGAGTGTGGCTCTTGACTGCTGGGAGGTCAAAAGCCAAGATGGATGTTGGAGCCAATTCATGATAATGCCCATTTCCTCTGGTGAGATGAGAAAACTCAAGGCTACGAAGCAGTCTGCTTGTAAGCCCAAACTCCTTAGCCCTGAAGGCACTATGAGGTGTCCTAAGTGGATCAAAAGTATATTTACCTGGTAGCTTGTGTTTGTAGTCTGAGCACTAGGAAGGCTGAGGCAGGAGGACTGCTATGAGTTTAAAGCCATCCTGTGCTACATAGTGTGCTTGAGGTCAGCCTGGGCTAAAAAAAAAAAAAGTGTATGTGTGTCAGTAAAGTTGCCACCAGAAATCCATTAAAAAATCTTCAGGTGACTCTGTAGGGGACCAGACTGCTGGACTAGCTTCATGATGTAGTTAAACAGCACAGGCTGAGGTGTTTGCACTGGAGGTCACACACTGCGCACTAAATCCTATTACTGGAACATTTTACTGAGTGTCTTCAGGGTCGCATTACAGCCTCTAGATGGCAGTCTAGTCAAGGTGAATTTTTAATGGCAGTTGCCACACTGACTTTCTGTACTCACTCAGACTCCTAAGGCCAGCTATGAATCTAAAAGACCAGAACTTTGTGTAATATAAACCACAACACCACCCCGTATTACCATTGGCCTTGGCTTTGCTGGCCCACTCGGAGACATCGTCCTGAGCCCGTCCATCGGTGAACACAATGGCTACTCTGGGCACCCGGGTAGAGAGGGGCCTGGCCCCTTCTACTTGGGTAAAACTTCTCTCAAACATGTGTTTCAGGGCCAGTCCAGTCATAGAGCCTTTGCCCATGTATTTCATGTGGACCACAGCTTTCTTCATGTCCTTGGCTGAGCTGAAGTCCCTCAGGGTAAACTCCGTGCGGACCTGTGTGGAATACTGCAGCAGCCCCACCCGAGCCGCTTTGGGGGAAACTGCCAGGGAATCTATAATCCCAGTGACAAAATGCTTCACGATCTCAAAATTGTCTTCTCCGAGACTCTTGGACCCATCAATCACAAAGACTAGGTCAATTGGGCCTTCAGTGCATCCTATACAGACAGAAGGAAAGGTGGCATGGTTACAATGTTAGAGATCAGCTACATACAAAAGTATAAAGAAGCATGCTTCAGCAGGAGGCATGGCTGAGTTCGGAGATCTGTCTCTGTTCTTCAGCAAACACACAGGACAGAGGAGTAGGGAATCTCACAAGCTACACAGTATCCACACATTGTAAAGGAAACCACACAGTGATCACTGGTAGCCAAGCCTTGCAGTGACTGCATACAGCATGGTAAAGAATTAGAGCAGTGGTTCTCAACATTGCTAATGCTAAGACCCTTTAATACAGTTCCTCGTGTTGTGATGACCTCCAACCATAAAGTTATTTTTGTTGCTATTTCATAACTGTAATTTTACTACTGTTATGAACTGTAACGTAAATATCTGTGTTTTCCAATGGTCTTAGGCAACCCACGTGAAAGAATCAATTGACCCCTAAAGGGGTTGCTACCCACTAGATGGCTATACCAAGGCAGTCCTTTTTGCTTTGTTGCAGGAGGCAGATAAACACAATAATTGATATATAGTATTTTGACTGCCAGTTGAGATGATTAATTTTTCCTAGCCGTTACTTCTTCCAAGAAGCTTCCACAGTAACCCAGCTTGTGTCAGCTATTCTCTGAATAAAAACCCCAACACATTAGTTTATTCAATCAAAATTAAGTTTCTGAGTATTTGCTTTGTGAAAGGCAGTGGACACAGCAAGATTATGATAATGACTAACAAAATATCTGACACCGTGTTCCTTAAGTCCACTGTGTCCTAAGCTGTATGCATGTGGGAGGATAATTATTTAACAATGGTGTTTCTCCCCTAGTCTAGATTGTCCTTCAGTAGATACTATGTGTCATTTATTTTTGTAGCCATAATGTTTGGCACACAATAAATACTTAATACATTATTACTGGCAGAATAAAAGAACAGAGTGATATGTATCCATTAGGTAGTACAATTTAAGTACCCTACTGACTTACTAAGGCTTAAAAATGTATGATTTACTGAATTCTTTACCCAAACCAAGGCTTTTCGGGCACCTTTGATGGTTGACAGTAAAAAGTGAAAATGTTTTATGCAAATATATAGGCAATTTGGATGCCGAGAGACTTTGTTCTTTCTGTAGGGCTGCATAAGAGAATTGTAACAATCCTAAATGAATGATCTCATTTCAAACAATCTACGGTATGTTATTATAATATTCTCTTTTATATATCAAGCAGCTGTCTAATCTTTCAAAGAGAAGCGCAATAATAAAGCAAGTAAAGACATACATATGCAAAAATACTTCTGTGCCCAGCCAGCAGAATATGCTAATGGGATTGTGCGTGTGAGTGTGAGCATTGGGGTTGGCTTCTTTATTTCATTAAGTGCTTGTCCTAATTAGTCAATCTATTGATTCTTTAGCCATGGAAGGGAAATCAGGAAAGACATCAGAGAGCATGTATGTGCTCTCCAGCAGATGTCACGGGTATTGGGGTATCGTGTATGTGCTCTCCAGCAGATGTCATGGGTATTGGGGTGTCATGTATGTGGTTCTCCAGCAGATGTCACGGGTATTGGGGTGTCATGTATGTGCTCTCCAGCAGATGTCATGGGTATTGGGGTGTCGTGTATGTGGTTCTCCAGCAGATGTCACGGGTATTGGGGTGTCATGTATGTGCTCTCCAGCAGATGTCACGGGTATTGGGGTGGCATGTATGTGGCTCTCCAGCAGATGTCATGGGTATTGGGGTGTCATGTATGTGCTCTCCAGCAGATGTCACGGGTATTGGGGTGTCGTGTATGTGCTCTCCAGCAGATGTCATGGGTATTGGGGTGTCGTGTATGTGCTCTCCAGCAGATGTCATGGGTATTGGGGTGTCATGTATGTGCTCTCCAGCAGATGTCACGGGTATTGGGGTGTCATGTATGTGCTCTCCAGCAGATGTCACGGCTATTGGGGTGTCATGTATGTGCTCTCCAGCAGATGTCATGGGTATTGGGGTGTCATGTATGTGCTCTCCAGCAGATGTCATGGGTATTGGGGTGTCATGTATGTGCTCTCCAGCAGATGTCATGGGTATTGGGGTGTCGTGTATGTGCTCTCCAGCAGATGTCACGGGTATTGGGGTGTCGTGTATGTGCTCTCCAGCAGATGTCATGGGTATTGGGGTGTCATGTATGTGGTTCTCCAGCAGATGCTTACGGAACAGAGACAGCCATTGTGATTCACTAACATCAAAGGTGTCCTGGCTGCTGCTGCTGAGCGTGGCCTTGCCTTCTCTGAGTGTACACTTCTATGTTTATGGGAGAAGCAGGGCTAAGGGGTCTATTGCCTGAAGATGCTCCAGAAAGAATTGCTCCACAGCCAAATGGGAGCAGAGAGCTGGTCCAGGTCACTCACTCTTGCAGTGCTTCCCATCCTCAGCCAGGACAAAGCCCTCTGAGCACTGGCACGTATAGAAATCTCCGTTGTTCACACATATGTGCTCACAGCCGTGGTGGGTTGACTTGCAGACATCCTTCCCTGGGGAAAACGTGGGGAGATGAAGGAAGTCATCTACTTTACAGCATCCATCATTGCAGTCCATGCCAGGCAAAGAGCAAGGGCAGCTCCTCTTGGAAGGCTTGCTCCTCCTGGCCCTGGATTTGTCGTTTAATTTTGAATGACTAGATGGGCTTTTGCTGCCGATTTTGTAGTAGAGATCCCAAGTAACCCATGTCAGTTATCTAATGAACTTCGCAGAGGTGAGGTAATTTGAACTCCTTGAAGTAGTTATGACCCTTTAATCCCCACAACACCCCGGACACACGGCTAGGTATACACAGGGAATGCCATGCGTCTGACTGAGTTGTGCAAGGTTGTCCAGCCAAACGGTGGCCCAATTGAAGCACACTTCCTCCTGATCGTACGACACCCCAGGGCTTCATCTACCCTTTAAAAGAAGAGACCTTGGGCTGGAGAGATGGCTCAGCGGTTAAGAGCACTGACTGCTCTTCCAAAGGTCCCCAGTTCAATTCCCAGCACCCACATGGCAGCTCACAACTGTCTGGGACCCGACACCCATGGCAAATCACCAATGCACATAAAACAAACAAACAAACAAATAAGAAGAAACCTTACATGAAATTGGGATCTGTAACTATGGATACCTCTAGGAAGTGGGAAATAGTGAGAGTTAATTGAGGGCTCAGCTTGCAAAGCCAGAAATTCGAGTGCCTTTTACACAACTGCTCAATGTATTGACCAAAACATATGCTGACTGAATAGGAAAATACGACTCAGGCAGACCGTGGACGGTCTCAGTGAAAGAATCAGGGCAGTCTGCAGCTAGAAACCCAGACAGTGCTGTGAGGCTGGGAGTCAGGCCCCACCCACAGCACTCTGTCAATCACAGATCCTCTCACTAGACACAAGCCACGCCCCTGGAGAAGAACGCCTGATGAGTTATCCTGCCCAGCTTTGCCGAGAGCTGGAATGTCCCATGGTCTCAAAGGAGAAAACTGCCCACAAAGCAACCTCAAAGGCAAGTGAACTTACTTAACTAAAAAAGGACACCACAGCAGTGTCAAAAACAAGTAGCTGTTATCAACCCCCAACCCTTAAAGAGGACTGCCTTCTAGAATGGGAGAAAGTCTATGCCTGTATTCCAATCCCAGCCTCATTGGGCTGCTCTTGGGTGGTGCAATAGCTAATTAATTCTATGTAAGCTTTGGCTGGGCTTGGTGCCTGCTGTTTTGTAAAACACAGATCTAGACATTGCTGCAAAAGTACTCATGCAAGAGGTTAACATTTAAATCAGTAGATTCTGAGTAATGCAGACTATCCTTTGTAGTGTGTGTGGGTCTCATCCAATCCATTGAAGGGCCCAAGGGTAAAAGGCTAAGATTCCCAGAGGAAGGGAAGCCGTTCTTCACCTGTAACATCAGTTCTACTGGATTCCAGCCTCCCTTACAGGCATCTTCCTCACTAGCCCTCACAATCCCGTAAGTCAATTTCTTAAAGTCAGGTTTTTCCTCTCTCTTCCTTCAGCCACAACATGTACATACACAGCCCTCCTGCACATAAATACTATAATCTGTTTTTCTGGAGAATCCTAACATGGGTCTGTCTGTCTCTGTCTGTCTCTGTCTCTGTCTCTCTCTCTCTGTGTGTGTGTGTGTGTGTGTGTGTGTGTGTATGAGAGAGAGAGAGAGAGAGAGAGAGAGAGAGAGAGAGAATGCACACTTGCACATGTGTACATGCTTGTGGAGGTCAAAGGTCAGTGTCTTCCTCAGTCACTATCCAGTTTATTTTTTGAGACAAGGGCTCTTACTGATCCTGGAGCTGACCAATTCAACTAGACTGACTGCAAGCACCTGGGGCCCTCCCCTCTTCCCCTCCTGGGATTCTCTCCTCCACTCCCAGCACTGAGATGGCAGGTGTGCTCCACCACGCTTGCTTTTACACAGGTCCTGGGGATTGAACTCAGGTCCTCATGCTTCCACAGCAAGCACTTTGCCAACTGAGCCATCTCTGAAGTCTCTCCTAACACTAAAAAACCACAGAGCCCCCCTCCAGCCCCCTCCTACCTTCATCTTACATAAATGGTCTGCCAAGAAGAAAAAGCACTGAAATTATCTTTTTGGTCCTGATAGTCAATTGGTACCACTGATTCTAGTTCTGCCCACCAATTTGCTAGGCACTTCACTAGGCCCGTGCGTCCATCCAACCACCATGCAGAAGGCCAAGAGCTGAGAGAAAACAGCATAGAGCCTGACGACTCAGGACTACCGCTGAGACATTCCTGACTTGACCCCCTGGAAACACTTGCAGATCACCCAGAGTTGGGGTCTGAGTTTGTGATGGTTAAGAACTCTCCAAAGGGAGGCTGTGAGGACTGCAGCCAGAGTCCCACAGGCAGACACACTCTCCACCCAAGCTACTTACTTCTACAGTGCTTCCCGTCCTGAGCCAGCCTGAACCCTTCCAGACACTTGCAGACGTACGACTCGCCGCTGCTTACACAAAGGTGCTCACAGCCGTGGTCTACAGCCTGGCAGACGTCTTTCCCTGAGAAGAGTGCAGCGATTAGAACAACCACATCAGCATAAAGTCTACGTGCATTGCCCCTGGATGGTCCGTCCATCACGACATCTGGACTCAAGTGCCGCCTGAGTAGGAATTGTGAAACGGGATGAAGCTTCGTGGCTCTCGGTTGGGCTAAATCTTCAGACTTTCTTAGCTTCCGTGTTGGGGTGCAGTTCAGTCTCAGCTGTCTGCAGATGTGGCCAACAAGTGCAGATGCTATCTGACGGTTATGTAGGAGAAAGCCCCAGTGTAGCTAAGCAGCACTAGAATCTACTCTTGCCTTTGTCCCTGGCGTAATCTATGATTTAGGGGGGGAAAAAAATCACATAACGTCTTGGAATCTTAGCTTTCCTGTCTGCAAATAAGAATGATTCCAGGTGCTCATCTTCTGTTCACAGCTGTTTGGGAAGAGCTTCGAGAAGCCTGAGAGAAAGAGGACTAAGATGAGAACCGTTTGTCCAGATTTGCACACTCCTCTTTGACTGCTATTATTAGGGTATCGGGGACTTAACCCAGAGCCTTGTATGTGCCTGGCAGGTGCTTGACCACTAAGCTACACCTCCAGCGCCTTTATTTATAATGTTTATTTATGGTCTGTGCACATGAGTGCAGTTGCCTGCAGAAGCCAGGAGAGGGCATCAGAGTCCCTGGAGCTGGAGTCACAGGAGCCTGTAAACTGCCTGAAGTGGGTGTGAGCAACTGAATTCAGGTCCTCGGGAAGGGCAGCAAGTATTCTTCATCACTAAGCCGTCTCTCTATCCTTCCATTTTTATTTTATTTTTTTATTTTGAGACAGTGTCTCACTAAATTTAGTGAGACCAGTATGGCCTACAGCCCAGGAAGTCTGTGGATTTGCCACGTTCCTGCTTCAGCCTTCTAAGTAGTCAGGCTTATAGGGGTATACCAGCTGGTCTATTGCAGTATATTGTTGTTACTGAGAGAGGGTCTCACTATGTAGACCAGACTGGGCTTGAATCCGCAAATGTCACCTACATCTCTCTGCCTTCCAAGTAATGGCAATCAAAGCATATAATACCACACCTGGCCGGGTGGTGGTGGCACACGCCTTTAATCCCAGCACTCAGGAGGCAGAGGCAGGCGGATCTCTGTGAGTTTGAGACCAGCCTGGTCTACAAGAGCTAGTTCCAGGACAGGCTCCAAAACCACAGAGAAACCCTGTATCAAAAAACCAAAAAAACAAACCACACCTGGCTTGAAGGGTTATTATTTACCAAGCGTACCTTTATATACAGCTACTTTGTTTTGCACAGCAACCCTCTTCTGCCCCAGGATCCCACCAGGACACCACATGACCTTTGATTGTGTGGTATCGACAGCTGAGAATAATTGTCTTACACCCAAGCTGACATGGTGGATCTCAGGCACGGTCATATGAGCTAGCGCTAGCAAACTTACTTCTGCAAGTTTTTCCATCGTCACGGAGGATGTATCCCTCGAAACACTGACACGTGAATGAGTCTTCACTGCTTACACATGAATGTTCACAGCCGTGGTTTCCCAAAGCACACGAGTCCAGTTCTGATTATAATTACAAAAACAGAAGAAAATTATTCATAGATTAGTGACCTAGTCATTCATAAAAGACACTGTGAATGTCTTAAGTTAAAACAGCATCTCTTCCCACACAGTTCATTTCAGGATAGAAAGTATCTATGAGCAAAAATTATTATTATTACTATTATTACTATTTATTTATTTACCTTTTTGGTTTTCCAAGACAGGGTTTCTCTATGAAACACAGTCCTGGCTGTCCTGGAACTCACTCTGTACACCAGGCTGACTTTGAACTGATTGAGATCTGCCTTCCTCTGCCTTAATATATACAAAGCACATACATCCCATTCCACAGGAAAAAGGTAACAGCAGAAGACAGTTTCCAAAAGGAGATGTAAACATCTATGACTATGAGAGAAGACATCTGATGCCAACTTTTCTGTGGATTTACAAATGCGTGCAGAACACGTAGCCGAGTCCTTCATTTATTCAAAAGCAGCAGAGTTCTTTGCTGGTTTTTTTTTTTTTTTTTTTTTTTGAGACAGGACGTCCCTTTCTCAAACTGGCCTTGAACTCAAGATCTTTTGCTACAGCCTAAGGGCTAAGCTTCAGCACACCTAAATAGTCAGCAAATTTGTGAGTTCTTATTGTGGGCCAGGCATTGTTCTAGCCACTAAGGACAGAATAACCAGTTTAAAAAAATGGCTTTGCTTCCCTGGGACTTTGCATTTGGCAGTGGGTGTCAGGAGTACACGAGGGTGTGGAGGGTGTGGAAGACAACAGACAAGCACGCCTTCTCAGTGGGGACAGATAGTGGCTGCTGGGTCAGGGTTTGACATCCTACACAGTATCACATAAGGGCAGAGCCCTGGAGATGGAGAGGAGGCGAGTGCATGGGCAAGAAAGAATGGCTGCACACTGCAGATGCATGAGCATGCTCATCACGTTGCAGGAGAGGCAAGGAACCCAACATGGTAGGAGTAGGCAGCATAGGGGCATACAAGTAGGCATGTCTGAGGGAGAAGGGCAGTCACAGGATGCTTCGAGCAGTAGGATCCCCAAGTCTGGCTGTGTTTTGAAGTACAGAATGGTGTAAGGGTAGAGAAGGAATACAGGGGACGGACTCAGCCTACTGTCATGGTCCTGCTGGCCCAGAACACTGGCGATGACGTGGTCAGACTGGCTATGTTTTGAAGGTAGAGCCTATGAGATTTGCTAGTGAACTGATGTTAGATCACAGATCTTCTAGCTGCCTTTTTTCCCCTTCCAGAAACAGGCCACCCCTCCCTGAAGCCTGACTCCCTGGTAGCTTTCTCCTTCCCTCTTACAGCTGTGAGAAAGCCCGGCCACCCTGATTCCTAGACCACAGGCAACCCTGGAATGCTAACTACTCTTGTCGGTGCCAGGCCCAGGCAGATCACATGGTATGGGGGCAGGCCATTTCCAGTGTCCTCTAAGAATGCCCTTTGTTCTTCAGAGTGGATGGGCTCTCTCATCAGCTTCTCCACCCTTCCATGTCCTGGCCTGATCACAGCTGCCCGTGATCTCTCCTGATGAAGTTCATCTAAAAGGGTAACTTTGTGTCAACTTCTGTTCTTTTCAACAATGAAATGAAGAGCCCACCATCACATGGCCAGGACTGGAGAGCCAAGGATGACCCATGGCCAGGACGGAAGAGTCAAAGATGACCCAGAGGTCACTGGACTGAGCTACTGAAGGACATCATTGCTGTTTATACAGCTGGGTGACTTCTGGGAACTAGAAGGTTTGTGCCCCTGTGGAAACAAGGCTGACAGTTCAAAGCTTGAAACAGAGGACCAGGGCAGTGACATTTGATGACAGCCATACAGTAACTGAAAGCTAACCCAGCCCTTTAGAAATGAACAGGATTTCAATGGAGTGCATGCTCCAAAGTGGTAGTGGTGATGGCAGCAGTGATGCTCGGGAAGAATCCACCCACACCATTTTTTTTTTGTTAAGCATTATTACAGCTTTCTCAGAGAAGGGGGAGTCCTCAGAACTACCCTGCAGGCTAGTTAAGTGTTATCCTCATCAGCTGGCAGGAGAAACTATGCTTGAGGAAAACTGATTACAGCTTGCCAAGACCACTTGCTAGTCAGTGGAAGAACCAGATGAAAGATGTTATTTTTCGGTAATGAAGCCTGTGACTTTCCCCAACGACACACAGCATTGCCATCTGCTAAGCTTTCAGACATGGGGGGAGCCTTGCATGTCTTTGGGCAGGAACACTGCCCGAAGCTTTGAACGATGGGGAAATGATGTTAGCTGGAATTTTAACTGCAGAGGAGACTCTAAGCAGAGTTGGGCACTCCGGTTTGCTCTAAGCGTGACTTTCTCCTCTAGGCACACTCTGGACTCATTACTCATGCAGAACATTTCCCTGCGGCTGGACTAGTTCGTCACATTGTTAAAAGTACCACTAAGTGATCCAGAGCACCAACAGCTGGCTGCCACAGAGGGCAACGTTTCCCCTCCTTCACCATGAATTTATAATACTCCAATTTCCAAGGTAATAAAACAGCAGAAGGTCTCTCAGGACACTTTTGCCAACCCCGATGCAGAGCAAACCCTCTGAGCACATTCTTCTCTCTGGGACTCCCCAGCCCAGCCCTGCCCCACCAGCTACAGCTCAAGCTCGTCTCGTGAAGATTACAGGGGCTTCCTCAATGGAGATATAGCCTACTGAGCCCCAGTGTCCCAAGCCTGTGCCTGTCAGGTGGCACTGTTCTTTATCTGAAGGCACCCGTGCCCACAGGGTCACGTCCCTCAGCCTTGGCTATATGCCGTGCCAGGAGCTCCGGGCCCAGCTCCTCAGTTCTCCTGGAACTGTTATTGTGGGCTTTAAGGTAATGGAGCTTTCAAGCTTATCTTTTCTTCTGCTCACCCCCGGGGCATCTTCCCAGTCAGTCCTAGGAGGCTTCTGCAGCTGACTGCTCCAAGACCGAAGTCCGCTGTACTAAAGGGCAAACCTGCCTACAGAGGGTGCTGGGCAGTGTCCACAATGCTACAGAATGCACCTTTCACACTTTAGCTTCACTTAGGGACTCCCTTCTGCAGGTGTCCTTGTACCGTGTAAAGGAATGTACTTTCAAGTCATTGACTGCTTCACTGTTTGTAAGGGTGAAAAGCAGGAGTCAACTAAAATGTTTAGAAATGGGACAGGCCAAATGCAAGGGAACAGTACACAGCTATGAAAAGAACGAGGACCTTCCAGAGGTAATTGTGGTGGTTTGAATAAGAACGGCCCCCATAGGCTCATAGATCTGAACACTTAGTTAGCAAGGAGTGGCACTATTTAAAAGGATTGGAAGGTGTGGCCTTGTTGGGGGAAGTGGGTCACTGCTGAGGAAAGCTGCCAACAGGGAGCAGATCCAGCCCAAGAAAGCAAAGTACGTTAGAGTCAACCAAGATGACAGGAGCTGGAGATCTGAAGGGTACTTCGACATCAGACCTGAGATGCAGACTTTGGAGTCTGCACAGCTGGCTTAGCAAGCATGTGTGGATGGTCAATGTGTACAGAACTCACTTCCTGCCCACAGGCTCTGGTGCTTCCACTTTGGAAACCAACTTGGCCTCTGCTTCTCCCAGAGCTGATGACACTTCACGGTGGGAATGTGCTTCAGAGCCTCCTGAAGAAAGGAAAGCAGCCACCACCACCATCTCTGACTCTGCACTAGAGTAACCACCAGCCTGGGGAAGCTGCGTGCACCTTGACTGTACTTGGCTAGCAAGCATTTGCAGACTGATGACCTGTGCCCACTACTATCTATATTTGGAGACTGGAAAGGACACTGGAAAAACGCTGGTCCAACTCCACCTTAGAGGGGCGGGCACTGATGGCCAGCAAGAAGAAGTGATGCTCTCAAGGCTCCCTAACCTGTAGATGTGACTTGTCTTGGCTGTACTGACCCAGGTAGGTCACAGATCTATCCCCGCTGTGTTTCCTGGTCATCCCAGCTCCATGGGGCTAATCAGTCTGGCTAGATTCTTGGAAGACAAAGGAACGATTTTCTCAAGGTAGACTCCACAAAGTTTGTCACCTCTCTGTGCCACAGGTGACAGTCCCACCTGCTCCTGCGGCTCCTCTGGCACCCAGTGTTCTGACCTCCCCATGGCCTCTCCAGATGGTGGACCTGCACAGGCTGTGGACCACGTCTGGGAAGCTCTTGTGCTGCACCTGTGGCTGTCTCCCCTGACAGAGTCTCTAGCATGGGATTAAACATCTTTCCCTGAACTCCATGCTCTCATGGCGGTTCTGCCGGTGGTCACCACCCAGATTGGGTGACACATCTTAAATATCTCCTCCAGAGAAAAGTTAACCACTGATGGGGCAAACACTGAATTAGTTCAATCCCAGGAGCTACCAGCACCTGACAAACTATATGCAAAGATGTGAAAGATTAAGTTCCTTTTTTTAAATATTTATTTATTATGTATACAACATTCTGTCTGTGTGTATGCCTGCAGGCCAGAGGAGGGCACCAGACCCCATTACAGATGGTTGTGAGCCACCATGTGGTTGCTGGGAATTGAACTCAGGACCTTTGGAAGAGCAGGCAACGCTCTTAACCTTTGAGTCATCTCTCCAGCCCCAAGATTAAGTTCTTAAGCAAGCATTGAGACTCCAGCCCAGGGAAGGGGATGAGTCAGACTCAGTTATTAATCAGTGCTGACGTAGAATGGGGTGGAAGGCTTAGACGTCTCAGAACAAAGCATCCCCCATTCAAATAAATGCCTTCTTGTGTAGGAACCCACTCCTGCAAAGTCAGCTGGGGTTCCTGGATAGGGGATCCTCAAGACCAAAGGAAAGCTGGATGAAAGAAACAGAAGACAGGACAGAATCGGGAGGTCTGTCTGGTCATGCCGAAACAGCCAAGTGGCCCAGAGTTTATTTCAGAACTGGCTTATGTATAGAAGCAGAATGAAGCACAGCACAGGCGGGCAGTGTCTAATCACAAGACCATCCCTGTCCTTGAGTGAGCAGCCTCCTAACTAGCATGCGCTTGCTGCTTAGGAGCAGCCTTAGTTTCTATCTTGGGGTTCCTGAGGTTTGTCATCAGCAGCATCCAGTCTACTAGACAGAGTGTTCTTTTCTCACGGGCTAACTCAGAAGTCTCTCACAGCCCTCAGGGAAACAAGAAAAAGCAGAGCAGGCAAGCTTGAAGTCAAATGAGTTCTTCAAGCCAGAAATGACTCCAGATGGAAACCAAGTCACACATTCTTGGGGATGGAGAGATGGCTCAGTGGTTAAGAGTGGCTGCCCTTCCAGAGGTCCAGAGTTCAATTCCCAGCACCCACATGGTGTCTCACAACCATCTAGTGGGATCTGATGTCCTCTTCTGGCATAAAATTGTATATGCATATAGAGCGTCATATAAATAAAATAAGTAAATAAATCTTTAAAAAAAGAAGTTTAAGAAGAAAAGAAATGTCTTTCTATTTTCTGTTCACATGGGGGGAGGCAGGTCACACATTTAACTAAAGCCTTGTGAATGGGGTCTGCCATCTGCGGCCAGGATGGCTCGAAGTTTCACAGTATAGCTCAGGTTTTGGGGTCCTGGAACTGCGTTTCCCACAACTAAGTTATATACCAGGTGAGTCTTGCATGTGGTATGGCGGTTGCGGGAATTATGGGGTGATATGTCCAGGGTACTCAGACTTCAGCAGCAAAGACAGATAGCAACCCCAGGTCTGGTTCTCCCTCTGGAGTCAGTTTCCCCCCTCTATCTCTGTGCATTCTAGGGATCAAGCAGCTCACCAGGCTCGCATGGCAGGCACTATACTGAGTTATCTTGCCAGCCCCAGGCTAGTGTTTTTATTTATTTAAAAAGATACCAAAGAGCTCAGTCATTCGTTCCCTGTCTTCATCTCTCTCCCTCCATGAGAGGACACAGTCGTCAGTGGGGGCAAGCCCTCCCCAGAGCATTTCCATGCTGGCATCAGACTTCTAGCTTCCAGGACTATGAGAAAGACATTTCTGTGGTTAGGAAACAATACAGAGTCTGTATCTAAGCAGACTTAAACACTGGGGGCAGGATGGAGAGTTAGGACTTTGGGGCTGAAGGGGCCTTTTTAGATCAGCCTGTGGTACCTAGTCTGGAAGTGTGGCCAACTGGATCCCTGAGGTTTAAGAGTATGGCTTCTATCCAAACAGTGTCCTCCTAGGCTTATCCTAGGGCGATGGATAGACCACTGAGCTTGCCAGCTTCCACAGTAGGGTGTCTCTGAGCCCTGCAAGGAGAGTGTGCCTGGGCCTGTCCCTGGGAGATGGGTCTCCAGGCAGCAATTACACGGAGCTCCCTTTGGACCTCTTGGTAAAGAATCTGAAGCTGAGGAGTGAGAACTGACATGGAGTCTAAGTTCTCAAAACATGTCTATGAATATAGGTTCCTGTGCCACACAGGGGCTCTGAAAGACAGAAATAACTGTTCCCAGGTTGAAGGTGAGCGATCAGACACACAGGAAGGCTTTGGAGCCCAGCTCCATACTCTATATTCTACCTGTTCCCTTTCACGCCTGGGCACAGGTGTCCAGGGGGTGGGAGGAGGAACTCGGCACCCGTTGGTCAGAGAGTCGGAAGTTTCCATAAGGCTGCTTCTGGTGACAGGCTGGGTTTCTGTGTGCAGGGAGGCTGTCCTCAAGGGAGAGAGGATAGTGTTTGGTCAGGGACTGTTTTAGCTGACATCCAGGGAGCTATGAGGACATCCCAGGAAAGGCCTTCACAGGTGGAAAAAAAGGCTTTCAGAATCAAGGATTGTTGTTGGAATCTTTTCTGGGAGGTAGTAGGGAGCCCTTAAGGTGACTGAGCCTGAGGTGGAGCCTGCATCAGGAGTCAGAGACAAAGGAGAGTGAGCTAGTCTGTTCATTCCCTACCCATTCCATCCACTACCCCATCACTCTGCAAGGCCGGGCCCTGGGAACCCTGACTCCAGATGACACCTGACCTCTGACTCCGAAGGACTTGCAGACAGCAGACTGTGCACTTCCTGCACAGTGGGCCTATGGAGTCTTGTCTGGCACTGTGTTGATCTTGCACGAGCTGCTTTTAAAAGAAACTTCTAGTGAGGAAAAGAGAGCCCTAAGCTGCAGCTGGAAGAGGACACCTCCTCCCTCCCCCAGCCCACTCCCAATCTATACAGCTAGAACCGGCATCAGAGGACAGAGAGGAGAGGACATCTTCACTCCAGTACCCACTACAGCTGGAACAGAGGACCAGGAGAGGACGGCCTCACTCCAGTACCCACTACAGCCGGAACAGAGGACCAAGACAGATGACTTCACTCTAGTGTCTACTTGGTCCCTGGGGCCCAGAAACTTGGACTTTGGCTCTCTACACTTCAGGCAACTCCGAGAACGAGTGAAGGGCTCTTCAGATCACCTGTTGTCAAGGAAACCCTCATCTATTGGTGAAGGCCTAGCAGACCCCAGCTGGCCCCCATCCCTTGTCCACCAGGCTTTAACTGAAAAGGTACAGTCATGTTATCTGGCTGTGTGTCATCTGGCATGGGGCAGGGGAACACTCATCCCAACTGCTCTTAGTTATGACCACACTCGAAACCTAGGCCATGATTACGGGATGGAGCAGCTGTACTGAATCACTGGAGAGCAGACAGAAAGTCTTCAGTGAGGGGAACAGCTCTGGCGGGATATACATGTCTGTCCTGTGTCCATCCGAGTTAAGTTCCAGCCCATCTGAGTACCTCGCATGTCCTCATAACCACCCAACCAGACGACACAAAGTTCCCTTCCAGTTGCTGGACTTTCACTCATACAGACGATGACACTACGCCTTTAGTCACAAAGTTGACTCTTTAAATGAGAAAGCAGGCGGCATTTAAAGATGGTGAATGCAAAACTCTGATTAGGAGAGGGGCCAGAGAATGAATGGAGGGTCGGCAAGGGTTTCAGATTCTGTGAGAGGATTTTAGAAGTCCTACAATTATCTCCCTCTCAGCTCTTGATTGTCAGACTGAAGAGAACAAAGACGGGGCATGAGGAATCTAAGACGATGGGGAATTACATCCATAATCCCCTCCCATCTGACTCTGGCAGGCAGGCAAGTATAGATGGTATTTAACTTACCCTTTTCCACACCCCCAGCGCCCAGGCCCTATTAGAGTTGGCTGCAGCAGCACCGTGTGAGCCACTGGGCAGGGATCCACAAGCAAGCTGGAACACGGTCTTGCCAAGATCCAAGAATCCATCCCAAACTGGGAAAATATTTTCTCACAAGAAGCACCAGCCATTGCTGCACATCTGTGCAGACAGCTCATCCGCCCATGTGAGCAGATGAAGATACAAAAAGGTGGACCCAGCATGAGTACCGGACCTACAGCTGTATCGGTGGCCAAGGAATTTGGTCCTATAACCAGAAAGGCAGTAGCCAGCGAAAGTAAAGTATGGTCTTTGCTTCCAATTTGACACTTTCTCTCAAACGGTTCTTAGTCTTTGATCTCAGTCCAGCTGGAAATAGGAACGCAGGGCAGAAAGCACAACGGCTTTCTTGAGTGGGAGAGACGACGGAGCCTGGAGTTTTGGTTGTGTTTTTTTTTTTTTTTTTTTAATGGAGATGGGCGTTAGAGCCGGCTACAAGGAGACTTTTACCTAGACATTGTCACTGCTGATCTGGCCTTGTGCTGAGAGGTGAGAGAGAAGACAAGGATTTCTCAGACATCTCCCGCTCAGAAGTAACTGGGGTCTCACAGAGAGAGAGCCCCTACTTTCCTGAGTCTGAGCTGAAGTTATTCCATCTGTCCATCTGTCCATCTGTTGCTGGAGTGTGACGGCATGTGCTTCGCACAGTGCTCAGCCTGGCCTGGCATGCAGCCAGCTGGCAATTGTCAAGTTTCTGTATTGTTGGTCACGGGCGTGACTGGCTGGGTGTGGAGTGTATCTGAGAGTGTGTGTTCTCTGCGGTCCTGTTCACAATACGTGGATAGAATGACAAAGAAGAGCAGAAGTTTAAGATGTTGGGGCTTTATTCTGCTTCATCTTGCGGTGGGAACAGCCCAAAGATGAGGAATTATGAACAAAAGAGGTGGAGACCGAGGGACGGATCCCACTTTACAAGAATCCATTCTCTATGACCAGTCCACGTCCCTGAGAAAGGCATTAATCCTTCCTGTCGACATAATTGCCTTGGAAAACTTTCGCGTCTCAGATGTGTCATAATGGCAACCAAATTCGAACATAAATCTAAGTATGGCCAAATCACAACTCATACCACAGCCACAGGCCAAGAGTGAGGGCGTGTTTCATAATGGTGGTGAGGCAGGGTGTGGAGACCGCATAAACCATTTCCGGGAGCATGGGAAAGAAAGTCTGGCTTTGAGATGCAGGCACACATATAACCAGGGCCCCAGTCAAGCCTGAGCGGACACACTCAGGTATGAATGGTCACCGTCCACTGGCTCCTACAAGAGCCTGTGCTGAGTCCTGTCTGTCCCAGGATCTCACACGTGATCGATCACACTTACTTGCACAGGTCTTCCCGTCGCTGCGGAGCACGTGATCCTCAGGACATTGACAGGCAAAGGACTTGTCTGTGTTGACGCAGGAATATTCGCAACCGTGGTCACTCAGCAAGCAGTAATCCGCCCCTGTAAAACCAAAGCCACGTGAGATCCCTGGGGCCTCCGTCCGCAAGGCCTCTGAGCTGCGATGGAAATTAAGTAACAGTTCACATTTATGGCTATTAAAAGCACTGGTCCCCTGCAGAATTCCCCATAGTCTCCCTGGAGGGCAGAGGAGAACATGCATTGTCCGTACACTTCCCTCTTGTGATAAACCCTTCCCTAGTGGAGAGGTGGAAGGGGACTCACTGGAGCAGGTCTTGAGGTCATCATTGATGAGGAAGCCTTCCGAGCACTGGCAGACAAAGGATTCCTCCGTGTTCAGACATAGCTGCTCACAGCCGTGGTCTTGCTGTGCACAGTGGTCCACCCCTGCATTAGTCACAAACACAGGAGAACATAAAGGGACTGAGGTGCCAATGCCTGACTGTCAGCCAAAGCCTTCCTGGTGACCACAGCAGCCACAGGGAAGGGTCCACTCTACCTCATACAACTGGACTTGCCGGGAAATCAGCCTTGCTCCATGTCATAGCCAGCTCCAATGGACTTGACACAAACCTAGAGTCACTGGGGGAGAGGAACCCTCATTTGAGGAATTGCCTCCACCAAATTGGCCCGTGGGCATGTGTGGTATGTTCTTGATTGTTGATTGATCACAATCCACCGTGAATAATGTCCACCCAGGGAAGGTGGTCCTGAGTGGTGTAGGATCATGAGCTGAATATGAACTGGATGCAAGCCAGCACACAGCATTCTTCTGTGGCCTCCGCCTCAGCTCTTGCCTTGACTTCCCTCAGTCATTAACTGTAACATGGGGGTGTAAGTGGAAATAAACCCTTTCCTCCACAGGTTGCTCTTGGTCACGCATTTATCAGAGCAACAGAGAAGCAAACTAGATACAGCTGAAGCCCTCCAAACAGCGGCTGGCATACAGCAACTGTTTAACGAATGGTTGTTATTATTACTAAGTAGTGCTCAGAAAGAATCATTGTGTAATTTATTTTTATTTGAAAAAGAAAAAAAGTGATTTTTTAAAAATTCTCTTGATCAGGACATCCAGATTCAGACAGTAAACAAAAGCCTTGCTGCTTGTGTGGCCCCTTCTGGCACCCAAACCCCACACAGCTGGTCCTTGGACAGGGACCTGGAAATACATAGCTGGGGTGGACGCTCCCATAGAGAGCCCCTTGGGCTGCCTCCCAGATTTACTGAACGGAGAAAGGGCACCCTCCATCACCTGGACAGACACTGAAGACTTCATGATGGCCCACTGAAGTAAGCCTTTTCATTCTTGTGTGGCTGAAGGACCAGCAGCTTCTGGAACAATCCATCGGTAGACACACCCCAAAAACACTTACAGCATCTCAGGAGCCACCAACCCACGCTCACATCCTGATTCTGCCATTTAAATTGTCGGGAGGCGTGTGAGAGCTAGGATGTTGGAGGTGCTCGCAACTGTGCCTGCCATGTGAGCGCTCAGAACGCTGTGTCATCACGCCTGAGAACGGCGTGGATTTTATTTCCCTGGGAGCTTCTGGATGGAAATAGCTTGGTTTAAGCATTCTGAAAGTTTGAACAGAGGAAGACCCCCATCTCTTCTGGGCTCTTCTAGACTTCGCAAGGTGTTGCAAGATATTTGATCACACGTGAAACTCTGAGACTGTGTTAATAAAATTAAACTTGGATGGGGGATGGAGTGGACAAGAATTAGCCATAGAGAGAGCAAAGGCATAGGGAAGGACTTAGAGATTTGTGAGATTTGTGGTTTTTTTGTTTGTTTGTTTATAGGTTGTTTTTTTTTTTTTTTTGGCTTGGGAAAGTTGGTGAGTTACGTCTCAGCTTCTCTGAGCTATCAAGTTTTCACCCTAACATCTGACTTCTTTATTGGTAAACAGAATAGAGACTTAGCTAAAACCTACATTTGGCGGCCACAACAGCAGCCCAGCCAGTGCCGGTGGGACCTGAAATCCCGCCAGGCCATGGTCTGAGGGGTGGGGCGCTGACTATGGGGTGCAGAACTCAGTGGTTAAAATATGAGTAGATTCAGGTGCAAGTGCTAAGCTGAAAGAAAAACAATCTCCCTGTCCCCCATATGGATTCTCTTCATTATTACAGCTCAACCTTTGACGCGGGTAGTACTAACGGTACCACTGGATGGGTTATAAAATGCAGGAAACCCTGAAGCTATAGAAGGGTATGGCTGCTAAGAGCCCAAAGGACTGCGCATGGACCCCACCCCATCAGCACCCACCCCGGACACACTCACGGCTGCAGGTCTTGCCATTGGAGTCCAGGGTATAGCCCCGACGGCAGCGGCAGTAGTGGCCTTCCTCTGTGTTGACACACTCGTGTTCACAGCCTGGCTTGTTTAGTGCACAGTAGTTGATCCCTGAGGGGAGAAAGTGAACACCCTCCTTCAGATGCTGTGAGGAGATTAGGGTGGACTCCAGGGTTCCCACAGCCCCCATGGAGACAGCTGGTGGGTGCTGCTTGCTGAGGCAAGCCAGGAATTATCCTTCTTTCTTCAGTCACTTACCAGGCAAGGGCCAGGCCCTAAGTTAGAAGTGTAGATGCCAATGTGAGCATTGCCATAGCCCTGCCTTCAGGGTTTGTGCTCTGGCAACACAACAGAGAGGAACCAGGAACATTAGACACCAAAGATACAATCAAGTATCAAAACGAAGTGAGGTTATTGAGGCCTCCTCCTACACACTCCACTGCTGGTCACGCCACAAACTGGGGAACAGGGTAAGTGGACCAGGCACAGATGCAACTTCATCCGGTGAAGGCGTATGTCACAAACAATCCCACACCAGTTTGGAATTATGACCAATAGAGAGGTTATTTATTTAGAGGGGAAAAACTTACAGATCACTGTCCCCGAAAACAGCCCTCTGCGCAATCAGGAAGGGAGCCTACTCGCTGGAAGCCAGGAAGCCAGGAGAGCGCAAGTGAGGGCAGTTGCTGCTTTTTTAAAGAAAGAGAGACCACGCCTCAATGGGCTGGTATCTCAGCAGCTATTGGCTGAAGGAGCGGAAGGATCTCCCGCAACACCTCCCCCTTTTGTTTAAGTATGAGAGTTCTAAACCTACTACGAAGTTATATACAATAAGTACAAATATCCTATTCTAACTAGCTTAAGTCTTGTATAATAAATAACTTGGCCAAGTCATCAACCCCATTGAAGATCTGAGAAGGGAAATAATGTTATGCAACAAATCACAGAGACAACTAGCTACCTGGGCAATCACCCAAGGTCACGTTTGTAGCGTTGAAGCAACCAATTTTGGCTACGGCCTAACATAACTGACAGACCATTTTCAAAGGCAAGAAACTTTTCAAAACTATCTTACCCTGTCTTGGCAGGATATGACAGCCCTGTTTTACCCATGTACGGATACTCTGTATCTCTGTCAGTGGTTGAGGCATGGGCATTTCTTTGCCCAAAGGCCAGTTCTGCCAAGAAGAAAGGCTCCAGGTGGAGTGTCTTTGGTGCTCAACATTCTCTCGGGAATAGATCGGTGTTGCCAGGAGCAATTGTGTCTCACTACCACGAAACTCTGAGTTAGATTAAAGGCCATTTTTTACAGCTCTTTGAAGAGGTTGAAGATTAACTATCTATACTGAATATAATCTCTATGTATCTAAAGAACCTGATTAGTCTAATTATAATTGACAAACTTAGACGACTATTGATCTATATAATTCTCAGTACCTATCTAACTTAAAGACTAAGACAATAAACAACTGTGCAATGAATGAGGACAATATGACCTCCAAATAAAAACAATGTACAAATATACAATGCAATATGGTAAATATATATCAATACATAAATAATATATAAGTATCTTAATCAGAGGTAGAAATGTACACTGCAATATGGTAAATTTATACAATATATATATCAATACATAAAAAAGGTTTTAAACAGAGGTATGCCAAAGTCAGATGTCAGAATTGTTAGATAATAACTGTCCTTGTTACGTGTTAGTTCATAAAGTTGGAAGCTGGCTGTGAAGTCCGTACTGAAACCATGAATGATGACCACCAATCCTGCATATCAAGTTATGATGTCAGATGAATGGCCAGAGAAGAAATTCCAAAAAATCTGGAAAGGTTAAGAATGTTGAAGCGGAGAGTCCAAACTCTTCATTTAGGAAGTCCAGGTTCAGAGAAGTAAAAGGAGTCAGTCCGAAGTGACATCGCTGGTGTGAATGGCTGTGCTCGGATGGGACCTCATGACTCGGAGCTCAGAACAACGGGGGAGTTCACGCCACTTTTAAGGATGCTGTTTCAGCTATGATGAGCCCCAACCTGAGCACTAGAGTCCAGAATCTTCAAGTCCACCCCCTGGACTACATCTGTCATCGACTCAGCCTCAGAGTCTGCTGGGGTTCCAGGCTTTGCATCACCACCTTTGTGGTCAGTGTTTGACCGACGACAGCACTCACTGTCCAGGGGGAGGTGACAAGGGAGACTGAGTCCTGGCCAAGGGCTTTCCTTCAGGATGACGCTGCCCTGAACTACTTTCCCCATTTTAATTGGATGATATTGAGTACTCTCGAAACACATTTGTTTTTAATTAGATTTGAAAACAGCCACCAGCCTCCTGTTTCATGTAAATGGCTCAGTGTCTGGAGGACCCAGAACACTTGGGAGATCTGAGATTCCTAATTACAAATCTCAGATTTTAAGCCAGACACTTTGCTTCCCTCTGCCATGTAATGCTCTAGAGACCACGAGTGCTCCCTCCCACTCCCAGCTGCCTGCTATAATGGAAGACTGAGTGCAAGCTTTAAGCCAGGGTGGCTCTGACAGACCGACCTCAGAGGTCCAGGCCAGGGCTCGCGGCAAAGACAACGGAAAATGTAATGACGAGGAGGAAGATTGAGAGATGGGCGGATGAGGACGCCAGCTCTGATGAAAAGGTCTAGTTCTCCTGGATTAAAAAAGCAACCAGGGCCCCTGGCTGCACAGGAAACGGAGCTGTCAGATAAACATCATCATGATAACCATCAGATAAACACGGATGAGCTTGAGGGACCCTGGCAGAAGTCACAGTCTACTAAACAGCCCATCTTGGGGCAATGCCTGTCCTTGGAGCCTTCTCTTCCTCAGGTGCCTCTCGGGTGGAGTGTGGAGGGGTGGCAAAGGTGAAGGAAATCCTTGAGGTCTGGCAGGAGATTCAGAATCTCAAGCAAGAGCTCCATCAAGGCTACATGCCTGACTTGTCCACTTGTTCTCCATTAGTAACACACCAAGCATGCTACCATGATGCCTCTGTGCTGAACCAGATCTAACTATTTCCCTAAGCACCCTCATCCCCTGTTACTGATTTCCCACGGTGCACTCAGTCCCCCAAACATTCATCCCTGAGAAAAGGTGTCTGTAGCACACAGGGGAGTGGCTAGGCCCTGAAGTTGGCCTCACACATACCACTGGGCGTGTGTGGTCTAATTGTCTTCATGTTCTGAGTGCTCTCCATTGAGGCTATTATTTAACACTTGGCTGTTTCAAGGGTTTGTCTCCAGGCTTGGCAGTGGATACACAAAGTTTGGTACTTATTAGGACGCATGTAGAACTTAGTCTGTGCCATGAACAGAATGTGATCTGTTTAGAGTCAGTTTCACACATGGCTCATAGTGTTTTCAGAGAGGTTCATGGTACATCTCACCAGTGCTTGTGGCAAGCATCTGAGTCCTCACCCCATCCTGCTGATGCCCTGCTTTCCTTGAGTGTGGCTGCAATGACCTAGGGAATTACTCTCCTTCTTCCTTCCTATCAGAGAATCCAGAACTTTAATGTCCCCACACTTAGCAGCTCCTTTAACGTCCCATCTCTGTGCCTTTTTTCCTCCCTCAAAATTCCACAAACCCTAACCCACCCCCATTTCAAGAAGACGCTTCAGCACAGACAGAGTTGCTAAACAAATCTCGTGACCAGAGCCAGTCTATTCAGTCTCTAGGAAAACATCCCACAATAGGTTCTAGTGGCCACAGGAAAATAGGAGCAGAGAACGTTAACGAACACCAGTGTCCACTGCAAACATAGTGAGCTAAGGGTCTGCCAAGAGGAGAAGCGTTTTGGTGGAAAGGAACATGGTGCATGGGCACTTACTTCGGCAGGTTTTCCCGTCTGGATTCAGCATGAAGCCCTTCAAGCAGCGGCAGAAAGCGGACTTCTGGGCATTAACACACTCGTGCTGACATCCGTGGTTAGACAAGGCACAGTAGTCTATCTCTGGAAAGAAAGCAAGGTCCTAGGAATCATGAATAAGTCAATATGACTAGCCATGAAAACAAGGATTCTCGGCCCCCATTTTCCCCAAGTGTGTAAAATATGGGCCTCAAGGTTCAGGTCCAGAAGAGCCCTCTTCAAAAAGCCATTTCCATGTCTTTATTATGTCCTCGTCTCAAATATCTTTTCGCATTTGTTTTTTGGTTTTTGGAGACAGAGTTTCTCTGGGTAGCTCTGACTGTCCTGGAGCCCATGCTCTAGATAGACCAAGCTGGCCTTGAACTCACAGAGATCCTCTGCCTCCCAAGTGCTGGGATTAAAGATGAGCACCACCACACCAGGCTTGATGTTTTTATTTCACAAAATATTTATATACCAGTTGCTTCTTGTAAAAGCCACTGAAATTCAATCTGCATTGGGGGCTGGGTGTGGTGGTGCACACCTTTATTCCCAATCCTTGGGAAGCACAGGCAGGCAGATCTCTGTGAATTCAAGTTCATCTCAAAAACAAAATATAAAAGAAAAAATTGTGTTGGGTAAGAATGGCATTTAGGTTGGTACTGGAGTTCTGAACTCTGGTCCCAACACCCAGCAGCCAGTGCTTTATGCACTGGGTCATATTTAGCTTCGTTTTCAGTGCACTTAATCGCTGATGCAGTTACCTCCACTTTTAGTTCACAGAAAGATTTTTATTAATCACAACTGAGTATCATATACTATTTGTGCCCCTTTCTACAATAATAAAATGGCTTATATGGTTTCCTTTAGCATGTTAATATTGTACATTGCATTGATTGAGTTTTGAGTATTAAAGCCAACCTTGAATTCCTGGGCTAAATCCCACAAGGTTATGATGCATTGCTCTTTTTGTATATTGTTGACCTGATTGCTAAAAGCAAAGACATTTGTATGTAAAATTTTCTTACAGCTTATTCTGGTTTGAGCATTAGGGTAATGCTGACTTAGGAATGAACTGAAATACATTTATCATTTATATTGAGGAGTCACTTGTATAGAATTAGCAATAGTTATTGCTCAAATTCTTGGTAGGCTTAGTGGTTAAGTCAAATAGGTCTAAAGATTTCTCGATGTATAGATTTAAGTTGTAAGTTAAACTGATTTAAGAGACATGACTAATCAGATTGCCTATTTCTTCTGGAGTAAACTGTAGTTGTTTGTTTTGTTCAAAGGATTTGTCCATATCATACAAGCTATTGGCATTTTGTGTGTGGTAATATTTTTCCTTTCAATGGACCAATAGTGATTTCCACATTCTTAATATTTTGGGGGGATTTGTGTCTGCTCCCTCCTTTTTCTCCTAGCTAGTCTGGTAAGAAATTTAACAATTTTCTTTCTTTCTTTTTTATTTGAGACAGGATCTCACTATGTAGCTCTGGCTGTTCTGGAACTCACCTTGTAGACCAAACTGCCTTTGAAATCACAGAAATCCACCTGCCTCTGCCTCTTGAGTGCTAGCATTTTCTTGTTTTTAATTTTTAAAATTAAAATAATTATATCATCCTCCTTTTTCTTTCCTCCTTCCAACCCTTCTCACTCCCACTTCCCTCCCTGTTAAATTTAAGTTCTCTTTTCTTTATATACATTTGTTTAACATATATGTTATATATGTGATACAATATACATACTTCTCCTTTAACAATATGTATAGATCTTTAACATATACGTATGTATATGTATATCTTTAACACACATATATGTGTGTGTAAAACATATACGCATACTTTTTATTTAATACACACACACACACACACACACACACACACACACACACACCCTGCTGACTCTGTTTCACATTGCACGTGTGTGATTTCAGGACTGACCATTTGGTAGATTACCCATTGGGCTCTCCCTGAGGTAGACTTACTGTCCCACTCTCCCATTCCGTGACTGCCTGTGGTTGTTTGTCAATGGGCGGGGCCTCATGAGATCAGCCCATCTATAGGGTGGCTCTTGTTCAGATCTTGCTTAGGTCATTATTAATTGCCTTTTTGCTTTGTTTCCTAATTTATTTCTACTTATCTACAAGGTTTTATTTTGATAAATTGAATGTATAACTAGACAGTTTTATAAAAAAATAATAAAAACTTGGTAATTACAACAACGAGAAGAAACTTGTCCTAGATGATTAGTATGTTATGAAAAAACAAACCAAAACCTCTCACCAGGTAAAGTGGTATGCACCTGTAATCCCATCATTCAGGAGGGTGAGACAAAAATTACCAATTCAAGGCAAGCCTGAGCTATACGATGAGACCTTGTTTCAAAACAAAACAACAAACAAAAATCACATCTCTTCATAACATATGTGGTGGATCATACATTAATACAAAATTTTGGAAGTTAATTTTGCACACACATTAAAAGACTTAACATGTGTCTTGGTTTGGTTTATTTACTACTACTGTAATGAAACACTGTGACCAAAGCAACTTGGGGAAGAAAGGATTTATGTGGTTTACACGTCCAAACCATAGCCCATCACTGAAGGAATGTTGTAATAGGAGCGGCGGGGCTGCGTCCCCAGCACCCCGGCCGCCTACATGGCTAGCTTAGCTTATGCCCCGAAATAATTACACGGAAATTGTATTCTTTTAAACACTGCTTGGCCCATTTCTATCTAGCCTCTTCTCGGCTAACTCTCGCACCTGGACTAGCCCATATCTTATAATCTGTGTAGCCCACGAGCTGGCTTACCAGGAATGATCTTAACCTGCGTCTGTCTGGAGTGGGAGAATCATGGCGACTCCCTGACTCAGCTTCTTTCTCCCAGCATTCTGTTCTGTTTACTCCACCCACCTATGTTTTAACCTATGAGGGCCAAGCAGTTTCTTTATTGCTTAACCAATGAAATCAACAGATAGAAAGATGACCCTCGTCCATCAAAGGAAGTCAAGAAGGAACTCAGACAGGACAGGCAACTGAGGCAGAAGCCCATGCAGAAGTCACAGAGGAGTGTTGCTTTCTGGCTTGCTCCCTATGGCTTGCTCAGCCTGCTTACTTAGAGAATCCAGGACCACCAACCTAGGAATGGCACCACTCACAATGAACTGGGCCCTTCCTCATCAACCACTAATTAAGAAAATGGCCTACAGGTTTGCTTACAGCCACATCTTATGGAGACATTTTCTTTTCTTTTTTTCTGGTTTTTCAAGACAGAGTTTCTCTGTGTGTATTCCTGACTGTCCTGAACTCACTCGTCAACCAGGCTGGCCTTGAACTCGCAGAGATCTACTTGCCTCTGTCTCCTGAGTGCTGTGATTAAAAGTGTGTGCCACCATAGACCAGCTGGAGGCATTTTCCTAACTGAAATTTCTCAGAGGACCTTAGCTTATGTCAAGTTGACATAAAACTATCCAGCATGACATGTCAATAATCTTTGACTCCATAAATTGTTTTGCATTTTGTTCCTAAGAACATAAAAAAAAAGGATTTATACATATGGGTGTGAAAAACGTATCACAAAAACCTGTTCAATAAATTATACCAGGTAATATACAAAATATGATGCAGACATTAAAATGTTTTATAACATGCAAATGATGTGCTAAAATGCCCCAGATTCAATGGTTATTATATGTTCTAACACTATAAAAATATATCCGTGCGTGTACACTTTAAAAGGGGAGGCTGTTGAGATGGGTCACGTAAAAGCCTGATGGTCTGAGTTTGATCTCTGGAGCCGGTGTTTGGTGATTTGACAGAGAACAGCTCCCAGAGGCTCGCATATTTGAATGCTTAGTCATTAGGGAGTGGAACTGTTTCAGAAGGACTAGAAGGAATCAGGAGGTGTGATGAAATCAGAGGACCTTGCTAGAGAAGGTGTGACCTTGTTAGAGGAGGTGTGGACCTGTTGGAGGAGGTGTGACCTTGTTGGAGGAGGTGTGACCTTGTTGGAGAAGGTGTGACCTTGTTGGAGGAGGTGTGACCTTGTTGGAGAAGGTGTGACCTTGTTGGAGGAGGTGTGACCTTGTCGGAGGGAGGTGTGTCACTGGGTTGTGGACTTTGAGGTTTCAAAAGCCTACATCAGGCCCATTCCATTGTCTCTCTCCTTGCCTGCTGCCCGAGGATCATGATGTAAAGCTCTCAGCTCCTTCTCCAGCAGCTTGGCTTCCCACCTGCCACTGTGGGAAGTGCTAATGGATGCTAATGGACTAATCCTCTGGAATTGTAAGCAAACCCCCAGTTAAATGCTCTCTTCTATAAGGGCTGCCTTGGTCACGGTGTCTCTTCACAGCTATAGAATGGTAACTAAGACTTCAAATAAAGGCGGAAGGAGAAAACTAACTTAATAAAGTTGTCCCGTGACTATATGCCATGGCACACTTAGCCCTGCATTCACACATCATAATAAAAATTTTAAAAAATTAGAGCCAGCAAATGTCTAGACAAATAAAGATACTTGCTGCTAAGTTCTCCATTCTTGGAATCCACTGACACTTTAAAGTTGTCTTTGATCTCTACATATCTACACACACACACACACACACAAACACACACACACTGCTAAGTTCTCCATTCTTGGAATCCACTGACACCTTAAAGTTGTCTTGGATCTCTACATATTTACCTTGGCACACACACATATCTACACACACACACACACACACACACACCAAAACAAACAAACAAACACAGGCTGGAGAGATGGCTCAACGGTGGGGGCTGGAGGGATGGCTCAGAGGTTAAGAGCACTGACTGCTCTTCCAAAGGTCCTGAGTTCAATTCCCAGCAACCACATGGGGACTCCAAACCATTTGTAGTGAGATTTGGGGCCCTCTTCTGGTGCTGCAAGCAGAATACTGTACACATAATAAATAAATAAACATTAAAAAAAAAAAAGAGCACTGGCTGCTCTTCAGAGATTCTGAGTTCAACTCCCAGCAACGACATGGTGGCTCACAGCCATCTATAATGAGATCTGTTGCCCTCTTCTGACATGCTGGCATGCATGCAGATAGAACACCTTTACACAATATAAGTAAATCTTAAAAGGCCCAAACAAATAAATGTAATACTATTTTTAAAATTTAAGGTCTGGAAGGAAATGAAACACACTGTGATTAATGATACTTGTCTCTGGCTCATAGAGTATAATGGTTTTATTTTATATAACTTCATTTCTGTAAGAATCAGTTGTCTACAATAAACTTATTTTACTTTTGTAATAAGAAATAAATATATGTGCTCATAATTACAAAACTAGTTGCCATGGAAAATAATAAATAATATAGAAAAAAGAACAGTGTAGGAGGTATCCAGAGATTTAAAACAAAAATCAGTGAACATGGCTAAGAATATACTATATATAGCCAAAGATGTCACTATTAAAAATCCAAAGGGGGGCTGGAGAGATGCTCAGTGGATAAGATAACATGCTGCTCTTGCAGAGATTCCAGAACCCAGGCTGGATGGGTCTCAACAACCTGTCACTCCAGCTCCAGGAGATCAACTCAGCACATACACACCCCCACAGACATGTCACCCCACCCCACCTCCTATGCTATGCATGCACACAAAGTGAGTTTGAGACCTGGGGTAGTTTGAATGGGAATGGTCTCTATAGGCTTGTATATTTGAATGCTTGATCCCCAGTTAGTGGAACTGTTTGGGAAGGACTAGAAGGTGTGGCCTTGGTTGGGGGAGATGTGCCATTGGGGCTGGGCTTTGAGGTTTCAAAAGCCCATGCCAGGTCCAGTCTTGTCCTTTCTCTGCTGCCAACAGGTATTGTTCCGGCACCATGTCTGCCTGCATCTCACACCCCCCACAACTCTGCCCACCATGATCATTGATGGAGGAAGGTCATTGGCTAATAAAGGAACTGCCTTGGCCCATTTTATTGGTTAGAGGATAGGTGGGAGGAGTAAACAGAACAGAACGCTGGGAGGAAGAGGAAGTGAGGTCAGTCTCGACAGCTCTCCTCTTGGGAGCAGATGCCTGAGAGAGACGCCATGCCCCGCTCCCGGGATGAAGCTCCGACCCAGGATGGACATAGGCTAGAATCTTCCTGGTAAGCGCACCTTGGGGTGCCATACACAGATGATTAGAAATGGGCTAAATTAATATGTGAGAATTAGCCTAGAAGAGAATGGGCCAAGCAGTGTTTAAATGAATACAGTTTGTGTGTTGTTATTTCGGGCATAAGCTAGCCGTGCAGGCGGCCAGGGTGCTGGGGACGCGGCCCCGCCGCCCTATTACTACAGATCATCATGGATGAATCCACTGAAACTGTGAGCAAGGTCCCCATGAAATGTTTCCTTTTAAAAGTTGCCTTGGTCATGGTGTTTTATTACAGCAACAGAATAGTAGAGTTGAGGAGACTTCATACAGCCACGGAAGGAGAAGGATGCTTGAACATTATCAGTAAGCCACAGCCTCATGGTGATGTATAGATGAATAGAAATAGGTTAATTTAAGATATAAGAGCTAGCTAGGAATACAGCTAAGTCATTGGCCAAACAGTGTTGTATATAACTTTTTTTTTTTTTTGGTTTTTCGAGACAGGGTTTCTCTGTGGTTTTGGAGCCTGTCCTGGAACTAGCTCTTGTAGACCAGGCTGGTCTCGAACTCACAGAGATCTGCCTGCCTCTGCCTCCCAAGTGCTGGGATTAAAGGCGTGCACCACCACCACCCGGCTATAATATAACTTTTGTGTGATTATTTGGGTCTGGGTGGCAAACATAAGCACATTTACACAGGACATGGCACATTTTGTCTCAAGCACACATTGGTTGTGCTTGGTGTACTGCCTTGGCTACAGTACCTTCTACAGACAATAAGTGTACAGTTACCAATTGGATGTGACTTCAGGTCTACAATAGAGAGTTGACTCGGCAGAGGACCCAGTTCGGTTCCCAGCAGCTATACGCAGTGGTTCACAAACCCCTATGATTCCAGCTCCATGGAATCCAACACCATCTTGTGGGCTCTGCGGGCACTTGTGCTCACGTGGGCATTAAGTACCCCCATCTCCCATATACACACAAATATTCTAAAAAAGGACAATAAGTCTTCTAAAAATAGGGACTGAAATGTAAATTAATTTTTTTTAAATTTTACTCATCTTTTGGAAGTGTGTAAGAACTGGATTTTTTTTTTCTTCCACCACAGCAGCGGCTACAGGAGGCTGGGACTGTGACATATCAAAGGTACTAATAAGGTAGCCGCCCGGCTGGCTGGCCCCCATGTCTCTGTCCTTGCCATTGGCTGTCTCTCAGCTCTTTCCTGTCCTGCTGTAGACAGGAGACTCCAGGGTTGTATCTGCACAGGCCGGCTTTCTCTTTACTTCTCTTACCCTTTTCTGAGAGCTTGGAGCATCTCTTCTCTATGGCCGGCTTTCCCATCTGGCTCCTGTACACGCCCCAGGATGGTGGGAATGTGGCCTTTCTAGGGGGCAGTTTTCCCTAGTGCTGGCCTGGACCCCACAGCTTTCCGAGCATTCTTCTCTGCCCACGCACTGGACTGGCCAGCTTCACGGTTTTGCCTCTAACACGGTCTGAAGATAGCTGAGCTGCTGGCTCCCAGCCTAGCTGGTGAGACCTCCCAGCTGGAAGAGTTCTGCCCTGACTCCCAGTCAGACCTCTCTCAGGCTCCCACAAGGCAGTTTCTACCTCATGATCTGACGGCCAAGTTCCTTGTCTGTACCACTCTAGGGTCTAGAATAGGGTCTAGTCGTAGGGGACGTGCTGAGGCAGTGTGGGAGATGGTGCCGTTTTGGAGAACAGGGTGGGATTGAGAGCCAGGACTCCTCCAGGGAGGAAGTTCTGAGAGTAGGCAGGTATGTTCCCCCGCTCCTCTGATCACAGGACACGGCTACCACCTGCCCTAGTCCTGCCTGCCTGCGTCACATGTGGGCCTGGGTTACACCTGCCCTAGTCCAGCCTGCCTGCGTCACACCATGTGCTCTGGGTTACAGTGACTCAGCTGCTTGCTCTCTGTGGTGGGACTTGGTTCCCACCAACTTTCAACAGAAAAGTCTTGAGTTTGTATGTACTTTTATGCTTAGTCAGGACATATGTTACATGCCCACTTATACTGAAATTTTTTGGGTTAGTGTGTATGTGTTCATGTGTGCACATGTGTATATGAATGTGTGCACGTACTTGTGTTTGGAGGTCAGAGGTCAACATCATATATCTCCTTCATTTGCTGTCCATCTGATTCTTTGGAGTCAGGGTCTTTGAATGTGTAGTTCACCCATCCATCTAGACTGGTTGGCCAGTGAGCCTCAGGGAGCCTCCTGCTTCCACCTCCTCAGTGTGTGCCCCCCAGAGATTCAAACTGCATTGCTGGCACAGCAATCACCTTAACAACTGAGCCCCCTTCCCAGATGCCAGTATCACCCATCGTTCATGAAATCATAATTAGCACCTGACAATTTGATCAATCACTTCTACAGATGATCTCATTTAGTCTTCGAGACAAGAGTGTGGATTATCATCTCCTGTTGCAGTTGAGGAAACTGCAGCATGAGGTTTTCCCCAAGAGTACCCAGGGGAAAGGCAGAGATGCCGCAATTGACCTAGGAGCACAGGGTCCCTCTTTGATGGGAATGCTGACTCATGGGCCCAACAGCCACAGCTCCCAGCCGCAGCGACAGCCTGACTGTTGTTCATAGTTCAGAATGTGGTTTCTCGGGCGTGGGGTGGGAAGAGGTGGACAGCGTCTTGCTGAGAACTGCTCAAGTTTTGTACAGAGAGGAGGGGAGCCTGGGAGGAGAGCAGCCTACTCAACCTTTCTACTCAGACTAAGAACTGTGCATGAGCTGTGTGCTGGGCATGGAGGTCTAAATGCCCTTCTGGTGCTGTTGTAGCACTGCTTTCCTTCCCAGGCAAACCCATTCGTGTGGCGAATGACAGCTCACTTTAAAATCCAGCCATGGCCTGTGCCTCCTTCATTTGGGGCTCCAAGAACATGTTTTGGATGTAACGTGCCCCAACCCTGGGGTTTGAAGCTGTTGATATTAAGGAACTTACTGAAAGGAAGGATGCTTTTGAAAACATGTTCAGAAGCACACACTGGATGTACCTATAAAAGATGGAAGGCACACAAACTTTTTACAAACTAAAATCCTATTTTGTCATTGATCTGGCTCTGGCTGTCCTGAAACTCCATTTGTAGATCAGGCTGGCCTCGAACTCACAGAGATCCACCTGCCTCTGCCTCCCGAGTACTGGGATTAGAGGCGTGCACTGCCACCGTCTGACTCTTATTTTACTCTCAATTGTTATTGAACCTCATTAAAATGCCATGGGGCCCTAAGACTTCTGAAGCATGCATCTCTCCCGTGGTCTTTCACTGTACTGAAGACCCTTGCACCTTTAAGAATCCTTCTGGCATCGTTTTTAAAACTGGGGTTCATCTTTAGTTTGTAGAATTTCTGTTCTAATTTTAGGAGTTCAAATCAATTTCAATATTTATGCATATAGCTAAAGTCAAACAGAACTAAAAAGACGAAGGTTCACCTATCCCCACCCCACCCCCAAGAAACCACATTCAATTTCTTTCAGTTCAGCGATTCTCTGGTCCTTACGTGGACTCAGAGCTGGAGCCCACAAGCCACAAAGCTTCAGAGAAAATAACCCTCAGGCCCTGTTATAATGATAGCCACAGCCACGCTGAGGCAGCATGTGGGACAGTTAGCATGCTCGCAGATGCTGGGAGAGCATGCCTGCACGGAGTCCCCAACAAAAGATGCCTTCAAATATTTTGCCTGGAGACATCGAGACCAAGTAAGCCACAGTCTTAGGGTGATTTAGAAAGGCCTGACAGAGAGGAACAAGGGCAGAGCCCCATGACTTAATATGTGATGATCCATACACGGGAGAGTTCTAAGTCCCCAGTGCCCACAGCAATTTCACTCTGTGTGTGTGCGCGCACGCATGTGCATGTGTGTAACTTACTTGTGCATGTTTTCTTATCTGGGTTGAGAGCAAATCCCTCGTGGCACTGGCACAGGTAGGAACCTTCAGCATTTACACACTCATGTTCACACCCATGATTTCCTGAGGCGCAGTAGTCCACAGCTGCAGAAAACAACACACGGTCACATCTGGTTAGAAGCGCAGAGAAGGGGACAGTAGAATGTCAGGATACCTATAACAAATACAGTTAGAGTTTAATTGTCATCTGCTGCAAAATGCATGAATAAATGAACAACACCCCGAGATCCCCCTCAGAAAAAAAAGAACCAAGATTTTTTTGATTAGGTTTTCATTCCTGAAGATGGACAGATACATTTAAAAGTCAGAGAAATGCTAATAAAAACTATCACAGGGCACATTTATACCTACTGAACTGGGGGAAACAGAGATAAGATAAACCCTAACAGCAGCTGCGGGTATGGCTCAATGACAGGGCACTTGTCGTACATTCAAGAGGCTCTAAGACCAGCACAATAAGAATAACTCTTGAACTTCTCTTTCACCTCATAAGGTAAAATCAACCCCTATTCAGAAGCTATGGAAGAGTGTGCAAAGTAACACTGCACAGAAGCAGCCACTGACGCCGAACACCACGTAAACAATTCTTGTTGTTGTTGTTTTTGTTTTTTTGAGACAGGCTTATCTGTGTAATAGCCCTGGCTGTCCTGGAGCTTGATTTAAAGACCAGGCTGGCCCCCAACTCACAGAGATTCACTTGCCTCTGCTTCCCAAATGCTGGGATTAAAAGCGTGCACCACCACGCCCAGCTCATAACCAGTTCTTGATAAACCATTGCTTTCCTCTCCTCTAAGGCCCCTGGGATTTGATGTGACTGAGACAGTCGGAGCCCCTGCGTGCTAGACTGTCTGTACACACCTCACCCTGATGCAGTCTGAGCCCCTGCGTGCTAGACTGTCTGCACACACCTCACCCTGATGCAGTCTGAGCCCCTGCGTGCTAGACTGTCTGTACACACCTCACCCTGATGCAGTCTGAGCCCCTGCGTGCTAGACTGTCTGTACACACCTCAACCTGATGCAGTCTGAGCCCCTGCGTGCGAGACTGTCTGTACACACCTCACCCTGATGCAGTCTGAGCCCCTGCGTGCTAGACTGTCTGCACACACCTCACCCTGATGCAGTCTGAGCCCCTGCGTGCTAGACTGTCTGTACACACCTCACCCTGATGCAGTCTGAGCCCCTGCGTGCTAGACTGTCTGTACACACCTCAACCTGATGCAGTCTGAGCCCCTGCGTGCGAGACTGTCTGTACACACCTCACCCTGATGCAGTCTGAGCCCCTGCGTGCTAGACTGTCTGCACACACCTCACCCTGATGCAGTCTGAGCCCCTGCGTGCTAGACTGTCTGCACACACCTCACCCTGATGCAGTCTGAGCCCCTGTGTGCGAGACTGTACACACCTCACCCTGATGCAGTCTGAGCCCCTGCGTGCTAAACTGTCTGCACACACCTCACCCTGATGCAGTCTGAGCCCCTGCGTGCTAGACTGTCTGCACACACCTCACCCTGATGCAGTCTGAGCCCCTGCGTGCTAGACTGTCTGCACACACCTCACCCTGATGCAGTCTGAGCCCCTGCGTGCTAGACTGTCTGCACACACCTCACCCTGATGCAGTCTGAGCCCCTGCGTGCTAGACTGTCTGCACACACCTCACCCTGATGCAGTCTGAGCCCCTGCGTGCTAGACTGTCTGCACACACCTCACCCTGATGCAGTCTGAGCCCCTGCGTGCTAGACTGTCTGCACACACCTCACCCTGATGCAGTCTGAGCCCCTGCGTGCTAGACTGTCTGTACACACCTCACCCTGATGCAGTCTGAGCCCCTGCGTGTGAGACTGTCCGTACACACCTCACCCTGATGCAGTCTGAGCCCCTGCGTGCTAGACTGTCTGCACACACCTCACCCTGATGCAGTCTGAGCCCCTGCGTGCGAGACTGTCTGTACACACCTCACCCTGATGCAGTCTGAGCCCCTGCGTGCTAGACTGTCTGCACACACCTCACCCTGATGCATCCTTGCAAGCAGCTGTGCTGTAACACCTGTCCTCTCGAACACCTTTGTTCTTCCACTGACCGTGTGTTATGTCTATCAGGCGTGCGCTGTCAAGGTGTGGTCTGTGAACTGCGTACATCAACAATTGTTTGCAAACTTGCCCACCTTATCAGTCCTCAGATCCTGCCCTGCACAAGTGGAATCAGAAATTCTGGGTATGGGAACCTAGAATCTGGGTTAACAGCCCCTAGGGGATTCTGATGCAGACTAAATTCTAATAGTCCCTGTCAAAAAGCAAGAATATACTATACAAGCTATAAAAATTAAATCAGCAGCTTTGGAGAATCTTGAGGTTATGTGCTGATCAAAATTACAATGATTTATGCTATTATAAATATAAAAGATTGGAATATTTTTCATCAATATCAAGGTTTCTGACTCTAGATTATTTTTCAGAATTTTTCAAATCCTGTGCCTACTTAAAGAACTCCAAACTGAAAAAATCAGAATGGGAATTATTTAAACAACAAAGATTTTAAATATCATATTTTTCAAATAAGTCTATTTAACATTTTGAAAATATTATTAAATATAACTGATATTAAATGTACACCTGTCTTTAAACAAAAAATAATTAAAATACAATTGTATATATGCAGATGTTTGGGGGTGTAGTTGTTTGTTTTGGGTTTTATGGCAGAGACAGAGTCTCAGAATGTAGACGGGTTTGGCCTGGAACTGTAGCAATGCTTTTTGAGTGCTTAGATTACAAGCTTATGCCACCACGCCCACCCAGCTCCATGTGTAGCCCAGGATATCCCTTTTTGGATGGTATTTTCCATTCCTTAGCAGCCACAGGCCACTTTCATAGACAAGCTTCTCCTCGGCCTTGATTCTCATGCTGCTTTATTCTCTGCGTGCACACCTGTCTGAACTAGGGAAAGGCCGGATTCAGAGACTGTAGGTTCCTAAGACCCTGGTCTATAAAATCTCACGGTATCAAGGCTATCATTGAATCACTACCAGGCCACTTAGGGATGGCAGCCCAGACCAGAACTCGGCGGTCGAATGTGAAGAATCACATTTCCAGTCATCTGACCCTCAAAGAGGTGTAAGGTCCGGATAGTTCTAGTCCACTCCGCTCAGGCATCCTTCACCAAATATTTTGGATTCGTTACATAACTTCCTTAGTTGCAAAACTGCATTTGTGAAAAGGAAGGCCAAGGTTAGGGGCAGATCATGGAGCTCCTCTTCAAGTCAGCAACACCTCCACTGTTCCAGCTCCTCACCGACTCCACCAAAATCCCTTCCATCGCCTCTGCCTGGAGTCTATGTGCACCTCCACAGACGGAAAGAACACAGTAACTCCTGGCTGTCATCCCTTGTCTCGGCAGATCACAGGGGGCTAAGGTTACAGAATCAAAAGTGAGCCTTGCCACATCCAGGCTCTGCCCGATGTGTGATAAACAACTCAGCTGACCTCGGAGATGAACAGCACATTAGTGCAAAGCAATAAAGGCCAAGCTCCCCATCATATTCTGCAGTTCCCCAATGCACTTTCTCCCTCTCTCTCCCCTCCACAGCCTTAGAGAGTCATTCACAGACGTTTTTCTTGCCCTTAGTTCTTCCTGCTTTCTCTATGTGGCTGAGAGTAATGGCTCAGTCTTCCACCCACTTCTCATTCCACTGTTCATCCCTAGGCAGGAAACAATCACTATCATGGCTATTTTCACAGCCATGACCAAGGCCTAGTGCACACTGGGAACTTTACTCAGTAATTTTTCCTCTCAAATCCTCTGTAGTAGCTGTCATGACTCCTCATTGTGGGTGGAAAAAAAAAAAAACACTCAGAGATTACATGAAATAAAGACGTACTTCACTGAAGACTGGTATGTAAGGCTTGAAGGTCCAGATGCCTTCAAAACAAGTAAAGACACATAGCCATTTAAACTCATAAAACCTAAATGGACATTAAAAGGAACAAGGGGAAAACATGTCGCTTCCTGCCTGCATTGTTGGCTTTCTAAGCATTCTCTTCTGCACTGGGCTATTCTGCTCTCTCTCTCTGACATGTCTTTGCCTTGTCCCATAATTCCAACCTTGCTTTGTCCAAAACTCCAGGCTATCTTTCCTTGAATCCATTCTCATCTCTTTCTGCCACTATGGCATCATTCTCAGAGTCTTAGAAGTTCAAGGTCATGAAGTTTCAGGTGTGTCCAGCCCAGGATAGTCAAGATGTGGCCCAACACAAAATTGTAATCTTACTTAAAACACGATGAGGTGATTTTGCTTTTTTGTTTGTTTGTTTTATGGTATCTTATAGCTCCCGGAGTCTCCATCTTTAAGAGCGGTGTCTTTGTTCAGCTGCTTCTATAACTTCTAATGATATTTTACTAAGCTCTGTCTCTTGGAAACACTTCTACCTCCACACCATCCCTGCCCATCACATAGGTTCTTGCTTGCTCATCTGTCCGATGGATACTCTTCTTTCTATATGCAGATCTTCTAGGCTAGACCCTCAGATGTTTCTTCTCTACCTTTTTCCTCCGGGGGTTCTATGATTGCCTGGGCTCCCAACACAGCCCCATGGAACAGCAATTGACTTTTGAAAATTCTGACTCCCTAACTGAGGGTACTAGTCACAGAGATCTGCCCGCTCATCTCATGGTCTGCTTCCCCCAGAGGCTTAGTCAATGGCTGTCAAGGATAGCTGTGAAGATGGTAATGCCAGGATCATCAGAGGGACAAGACCGGGGTCACATTAGGATACACAGTTTCTCCTGCTTGACCGCCTAATACAGGCAAGACATTCTTGGCATTTTGGTTGTGAGCCTAGCCTTTAACGGCTGAGCTATCCCTCCAGCCTAGCACATTCTCATACACTTATAAGCATTAGCAGGGGAAACCACCCGTCTTGGATGAATATGGCCAGCATGACTTCTGGCAAACACAGTGTGTTCTCGCTCATTCTTTCAGCTCCTCAGCAAATGTCAAATTCCAAACTTACAGCACAATCCTGAGAGACACAAAGATTCTCTACTAAACTGGGACAATTAGGCAATTATTTGATAATACGGAGAGAACTGGGTTCCCCACCACCCTCCAGTTTCCCAACCTCCCATGGACTGGCCTCCTCCTCGTCTATCCCCTGGGACTCCCACAAGCTCTTAGTTTATGCTGTGTCTTTCCCCACTCAGTCAATCAAACTGTGTTCCCGACACCTTGATGCTTATCCCCATCCTTCCTCACAAAGGCCCCATTCTCTACCTTTTTTATTTTTTTAATTTTTCAGTTCACAAAGTTTCTACTTATGTAACATCAGAAAGGGGCAAAAAAAAAAAACCCAGCTGATAAAAATAAACAGTATAACTTCTTGTTCATCATGGACCAAGGTTTTATAGTAGACACTTCTAGGGGAAGTATGGTAGAAATGCGATGAATTATTAACAGTGATTTTCTCATCCTTTAAGTATCAGTTTTACAATAAAAAATAATCAAACAAAATAATAAGTACTGGTGGTTATGTGTTGGCTTCTTTTTTAATGATGGCCAACAGAACATCCTGCCGCTCGGTCACGGTCGCCACCAGCAAATTACCGCCTCCCCCCACCCCCCATAAATAGCTTTAGGACTCAGTACTCAGTAAACCAGTTCCATTCGCTGATCTCTGATGAGGGGAGTTTTCAAACCTTCCAGTATGGAAAACAAAGTCACATTACTCTCATTACTCCCATGTAAATAGCAAGTGATCATTTTTTTTTTTGTCTTTCATACCCCTAACTAATAACCAGGGCATGCTGGAAAATACGCATTCAAAATGCGGAGGGGAACATGAAGGGATACAACATGGTCTCTGGAAGCAACGGGATATAGAACAGAGAAGCAAGACTTGGTCAGAAATCTCTGTTCACTTCCGTCCAGCTCATTGAACACCTGGCATTTACCTACCATTTCTTGCTCTAATGATGAATGAGACCAGGCAAGGGAATTGCAGCTAATCAGGAAGGGGCTTCATACATCTTAGGGGTTTGCTGGTCTGCTCTGCAAGCGCTCAGGAAAACTCTACCCCATCTCTCAACTGATCAGTGTGGAGATGCCAAATGGGGAGGGCGTTCAACTATGAGCTGTGCCTGCAGCTCAGAGCACTTCATAGAGAGCCCTTCCCTGGCTCTCAAGGCTGTTTATTTTCTGTGACCTTGATGTCAATACAGACAGTTGGGCCTTTCTCTGAACTGCAGGTCCAAAATGAGGGATAAGGCTACCAGGTCTTTCAGGTACTGCATAGCACCCCTGCCCATCACCAAGTAAATTTCATATATAACACTTGAGCTATATAGTTAGGTCCCCAAACTACGTTCTAAATCCACCTTGCTTGTTGGTGGAAGTTTCTGTCCCACCCACCAGTTTCCAAATAACCAACACAGAGGTTTAACATTAATTATAAATGCTTGGTTGGTAGTTCAGGCTTGTTACTACCTAACTCTTACATTTGAATTAACCCATATGTCTTCACCATGTGGGTCATGGCTGTTACCTCATTTTGTACACATCCTGCTTACTCTGCAGCTGGCTGATATCCCCCTGACTCTTTCCCTCTTTCTCCCAGTATTCTCATTTTGGCTATTCAGCCCATACTTTTTGCCTAGCTACCAGTTACTCAGCATTCTACTAAATCAATTCGAGAGGCAATTCTTTATGGTGTACAAAGGGCGTATTGCACAGCACTGTCCCTTACAAGCAGTGATGTAACAGGCAATTATATTTACATAGACTGTCATAAGCATGCCTTATGTCAAGGGTCTGAAATAAGCAAATACTGACCTCAAACAAAAACGAAGTCTTTAAAGTTCAGTTCTGCCTAAAAACTAAACCACAGCACTGACTGCTTCATTAGAACCTAAAGGACCGTTTGGGCCTCGTGCATGCTGCTCTCCTTCCTGTGCTTCTGTGTCCTTTCTCAGCACGCGTGACTGGAGAGACACCTACCTGTGCATCGCTTCCCATCCTCGGCCAGGGTGTAGCCGCTGTAGCACTGGCAGACAAAGGAACCTGGCAGATTCACGCATAGCTGCTCACAGCCGTGGTCCTCTGAGGCACACAGATCCTGGACTGAGGCAAAGTTGAACCATTAGCACATAGCTCAGGAGCAGAAGTTCTCCTGGCCCACAGCAACTCAATTCTATAGCACTTACTACAGTAACCTCAAATAACATCGCACATTTTAATACATTATTGTAGAAGACTGAGGGGCAAAATACATAAAAGGAAGCTCCACCTGTAGTCCTACCACCCAGAGCAACCATTGCTGACACTGTATCCATTTTAGTGTATATAAAAACATTTTCCTTATTTTTGTTTTTATTTTTGTTTTTGAAGACAGGTTTCTCTGTGTAGTCCTGGCTCTCCTGGAACTCACTCTGTAGACCAGGCTGGCCTAGAACTCAGAAATTTGCCTGCTTCTGCCTCTGGAGTGCCTGGATTAAAGGCATGCACCACCCACTGCCCTGCTGATAAAACCATTTTCAAAGTTGGAATTATCTAAAAATTCATGAAATAATTTTAATTAAAATCAATTTTATATTTTCCTGTGGTCATGAAAACCACTTTGAGCATGATTTTGAGGGCTCATGAGAGCTGAGTTGTGAGCGAGAGCTTCTACTTGCTCCCATAATGTACCATTCCTAGGTTTTGGGCAAATGCAGCTTCACCAGCATACAGGAGGTGACTTTGTCTTGTTTGACCCTTGACATCATGCAGAAAAGGCAGCCAAGGGAGCTACAGACTCACCACTCAGCTGGATGTGGTGGTTTGGGTACAAATGGCCCCCATGGGCCCACAGATTTGATGCTTGGTCATAAGGAGTGCCACTATGAGGAGGTGTGGCCTTGTTGGAGAAAGCACATCACTGGGGTGGGCTTTGGGTTTCAAATGCTCAAGCCAGGCCCAGTGCTCTCTCTTCCTGCTGCCTGTCAATCAAGATGTAGGACTCTCAGCTCCTTCTCCAGCACCATGTTGTCATGCTTCCCAACATGACAACAATGGACTTAACTTCTAAATTTTAAGCCAGTTCCAATTAGTGTTTTCCTTTATAAGAGTTGCTGGGTCATGGTACCGCTTCATAGCATCAGAACACTGACTAAGACACATGGCAAGTTGTAAGTACAACCTCAATCCCCCGGTCCCACCAGCCTTTCCTCTACCCATCTGACTACAGGAGGGGTCTTCATGCACTCAACTCATTCATTCCTCACACTGGGTGAGGAAAATGGCGAAGCCAATGCCATGGGAGGAGCTAAAGACGGTTACAGGGAACCGCGGAGAGGAGACTCTTCATGCCCTTGTTTGAGTCAACTAGCCACCACGTATCCACAAAGTGCTGAGCTAACTTGTCATGGGCATGCAGTGTGGGAATGCGCGTATGGGCATGCGTGTCCTGCTGTGGGTGTAGGAATGTGTAAGAGGATGGCAAGGTTAAAGGCACCTTCAACCCACCACTGACTCAGCCTCTCCTTGGCACAGATGGGCAGACATGATGGTGCTGTTTCCTGGCAAGGAGGTTGCTCAGAGGCCGTGAAATGACTAGCTCTACCCACAATTCTGCCATTAAAACCAGAGAAAGTCAGGGAGCATTAAAGGGACTGGAGATATTAAAGGGATTGGAGATATTAAAGGGAAGTTCCTTTGGTTAAAAAGTGTCACTACATCAAGGGTGATAAAATTCAGTTATTCAGAAAGCTCTGTTAGTCCCTGACTCTCACTTATACTTTAAAAAAAAGTCTATATTGTTTAAACTAAGGTTGATTTTAATTTTAGCCATGTGTCTGTTTGCATGTGCTCACAAGCACAGCTGCTTGTGGGTTTCAGTCCTCTGGAGCTGGTATTGTAGGCCATTGGGAGCCACCTGACACGGTGCTGGGAACTGAACTCAGGTCCTCTGTGGGACACTCAGTGCTCAGCCGCCTCTCCAGCCTTATCATTCTTCCTTGTTAAAATACCTTTTATTGCCAGGGAGTGGCAGTGCCTGCCTTTAATCCTATTAATCCCAGCACTCGGGAGGCAGAGGCAGGTGGAGCTCTGTGAGTTCAAAACCAGCCTGGTCTACAGCGTGAGTTCCAGCACAGTGAGAGCGGTTACACAGAAAAATCCTGTCTCTAAAAGCCAAATACGTTTTATTAAATCTGACCTCTGACAATCTCATACATGCAATGCTTCCTGATTACTCCCACTCCTCCCCCTCCAACCAGCCCCTTTCCACACTCATAGCCGTGGGTTCTATTTGGTGCCCCACTGAGTTTACCCAGGGTGTCTGTGAAACCTGGAGTTTGGAAATATCCATTAGAGCCTAGGGGTGATGTTACCACGGATATACAACTAAAGAAAATGACAGCCCCTCCCCGGGAATCCATCAGAAGGCAACAGCCCAGGAAGGAAGGGCAGGGCCCATAAGTCCCTCCTGGATCTGTGATTAACTCTGCCTGACGGTAGGATGTCTTGTGCAGGCTGCCACGGCTGCTGTAAGAGTGTGATTGCAGCATTCTGCAGCCCTTTGCCCTGTATTTTGGCTCTTACATTCTTTCTGCTCCCTGTTCTGTGATAGTCCCTGGGCCTCAGAGGGGGTGTCGTAAAAACCTTGTTTAGGGATAAGCCCTCAACTGTCACTCATTCTCAGCACTGTGGACATCCATGAGTCTACACTTGGTATCGTTCATGGCAAAAGCAGCTTCTCTAACAGCTATAGTTGGCTGTCACCTCCAAGGGGCTGGGCAGATGGCTCGGTCTGTGAAGCTCTTGTCTTGGCAGCACAAAGACCTGCATTTGATCCCCAGAACCCCACATAAAAAGCCAAGCTTGGTGCCATCCTGGCAGTGAGACAGGAGGTAGAGATGGGACAGCTAGCACTCCCTGTGAGCTGGCCTCGTCCCCTTGGTGAAGACACCGGCTAGTGACGGACCCTCGAGCAAAAGGTGCACAGTGCCCAAAGAATGACAAGGAAGGTGTCCTCTGACCTCCATAAGCATCACACACATGTGCAGGCACACATGCGTGCACACACACAGGAACACACATAAATAAGTAATATCACCTACATGGTCTTCGAATTTTGTATTGTGCTTTTGGATAAACGTATTAAGTTGGTGAAAAGATAAAAAAAAACTGATCTGGGGCTGGAGAGATGGCTCAGCGGTTAAGAGCATTGCGGCTCTTCCAAAGGAGCTGAGTTCGATTCCCAGCAACCACATGGTGGCTCACAACCATCTGTAATGAGGTCTGGTGTCCTCTTCTAGCCTGCAGGCATATATGCAAACAGAATATTGTATCCATAATAAATAAATATTTTTTAAAAAAACTGATCTGACTCAGAATTTCCATTAAATAAATTGAGCACTTTTTCACTTTTTATTTTTATGGATGTTTGTCTGCACGTATGTCTGTGCACCACGTCCATGCATGTAGTGCCCATGACCAGAAGAAAGTATCAGGTCCTCTAGAACCAGGGTTACAACAGTCATAAGCAGTCATGTGGGTGCTGGAAGTCAAACCCAGATGCTCTGGAAGAGCAGTCAGTATATTCTTTGCCATTGAGTCATCTCTCCTTAAAACAAAAACAAAGCCAGGCGGTGGTGGCACACGCCTTCAGTCCCAGCAATGGGGAGGCAGAGGCAGGTGGATCTTTGTAAATTCAAGGACAGCCTGGTCTACAAAGCAAGTTTCAGGATAGCCAGTTCTGTTACATAGAGAAAGCCTATCTCAAACAACTCTCAAACAAACAAACAAAACAAACAAGCTAGTTAATCAATTAATTAAATTACATCTATACTAGTACATATTAAAATGATGAGGTCTAAGAAGAATGAAGCCTGAGGGGCCGTGCTGATATGGAGGACAGGGTTGGCAATTGTATTCGACTCTGGGAGTTCCCTGGCAAGTGGCAGACGAGGCTGGGAGGGATCACAGACACCAGATGGCTGAGAACCCTCCAGTAGCCCAAGGAGCAGAACTCTCCTCAACAGACGACAGGGCCACACTCAAGGGGGACACCAGCGACTCCATCCAAACTGTGTTTTGTGTCTGTCAGCATCTGTCACAGATATTCTCAGCTCTGGGAATCTCGTCTGACTTCCAGCCCAGCACGATGAAAACTATGCAATGTGGCCCTTAGTCCCAGGCTTTGGCGTGCCTGTCGGGTGATGGGACGTTTGCCTCTTGCTGTGAGGAGCTTGAGCTGTGAAGGGCTTTTGGGCTCCCACGCTGGCTGTCAGTACACTCCTGTGCTCTTCCTCCCTGGTATGTAGCGTATTAATGGTATATGTGTTCATGCAGTGATGCGGTCTCTGTCTCCCTTACTAGACTCTAAGTCCCTCTGCAGGTGGCCAGCTCTCTGCACTGCTGCTGGGGAAACCAGCTTCCTGCTCACTGGCAACAGCTGTCTCTAAGCCATTTCTGCAGGGAGGCAGGAATTCCTGCAGCCCCTCACTCTACCCAAGTGTCACCAGGTCCCCAGGTCCCCCGGTCCCCCTAGAATCCCTGCTAACCATGAAAAGCAAGTAGGGGTGGGAATGAGGGCTTTTATTCATTTACGTACAGTTGCCTGGCTTAAAAATTCTTAAGAAGAGTTTTCAGAAAAACAGGAGAAAATTAGCATATTATAAAAGCCCCACCCAAGACAGGGTTCTCTGTGTAATAGCTCTGGCTGTCCTGGAACTCACTTTGTAGACCACGCCAGCCTCAAACTCACAGAGATCTCCCTGCCTGCCTCTGTCTCCCGAGTGCTGGATTTAAGGCATGTGCCTACACCGCCCAGCACAAAAGAACCTTTTGAAAGTTGTATTTCGAAGCCAAATCCTAGCACAGGGTGGGCAGAAGCAGGTAGATCTCTGTGAGGCCGGCCTGAATTCTTTCTGGACAGGCTGGGACTCTGCAAAATCCAGGTTATTACTGTGTGACCCCGTCTATCGAAGCAGAAGGGTCTTAATCCAACTGCCTATTAGAACTTTCTGGACCCCTTCTAAAGACACTGATGCTGGGGCTCTAAGATGCTCAGGCAGCAGAGCACCTGCTGGGCAAACTTGAGGACCCGAGTTCAATGCCAGGCAATGTGAAACGTCCAG